GTTTTTTCTTAAAATACCTGATATTGATGTATGAGATTGCCCTGGCTGAAGGTGCATCTCCAATGACAGGTTTCTCCTGTTTAGTTTAGCTAGGGGCAGCCCATCATCATGTCCAGTTCTGTCATGCCCATAAGACAGGTAATGTACATAATATCATAAATTTGTGCTTCAGATACCCAGAGCTGGGAGACAGGCTATCTGGGAAGCATAGAGCCACCCACGAGTATCCACAATCTGGCAGGGCAGAACTCCAGCTCTTATTCAGTTTCAAAATCATCAAGTGTCTACTACCAGGTAGAGATCACCACAATGTAAAAAAATCATGAAACACAGGAAATGAGATAATGCTACTAACCCTCAACACTCACCTCAGGGGAACTCCAAAATTCTCTACAAGAGTTGATGGGGAAACATCTTTGCTTCAATCAGACACACACAGAACACTATTCCACCCTTGGTATAAAACACAGAGCAAATATGCTTCCCCCATTCCACAGCTGTATTTCTATGCTGACAGTACAATCTCACAGACAACCCTACATCACTGAGTGCAGAGGTTTAGGGCAAAAGGCCTGTCCAGCTCACATTCTACAGAGGCTGTTGTTGACTGCTTAGAGGCTGCCTGATGATTCTGGTTATTTTCATAACATAGACAGTGTTGCTAGATCATGCTACAAGGCACTAACTAGGATTAAGCACAGAAAGCTTCAAATTAATCTCCAGCCATTGATCCATTTGAATACTCAACATTACAATATGTTTCACCTTGTTTTAGTTTAAAAGTTCATGAAAAATTCAAAATATCTTATTTACCCAATAGTCCTTGACTGATTCTTCTACATTTCAGTTCGTAAATACATACATTATTTAACCAATATTGCAGTTACAGAATAGCATATAAATATTCAGGGACTTTTTAATAAGTGCAGCTTTTTTATAACAGACCACAATGGCTGCTTAGAAACATTTACTAGTAGGATACCTGAAATAACAGTAAGAGGAAACACCTTCAAGAGTAACGTACTTGGATAAAATGGAAGAAAGGAGCAAAATACTAATTCTCCGTTCTCCTCACACACCTTCAACAAATTATGATGCACAAGAAGATATATAGTATGCATTCACATATGAAAAATAGAAAGGGAAAAGACTTTAAATGATAAGCTCAGTGAGCCAAGTTAAGAAATAAAAGAAAAATAATTATGGTCATTTCAAACCCAAGTTTCCTGCAAATGGCAAATTTCCCTTTACATAGAAATTTTCTTCTTGCCTTTTTTTTTTTTTCTCCAGAGAGAAGGGGTGGGGGCACAGCAAGGCAGGGACCCATTTACTTATACAGATGCTAAACTGCAGTGTTAATATCTGTGCCCCACCTCCCCCTGACACTGCTGTCACTTTGAGTGCAGACTGTCCCCTTGCCAACAGCAGCCCCAGGGAGGCACACACACATGAACCTGCCACACAGGACACTGAGACCACACATCCGACACAGTACATGGCCAAAGACCTTCTGCACAAGACCACCTTTGTTCCCTCATCTGTGATGACAACTTGGTGGGTCTGATTAAAAAAGGAAAGGAAACAGAAGTGTTCAAATTTCCAGAAGATCAGATTTAACATTATGGAGAAAATAAGGCAGAACCAGCAAGTAAATTCTGAATTCTGATATCTCCTTTTTCTACCATTTTGTACTTTGCATTAAGCAAACCAGTAAGTCTTTTTCTTCTGAAAAATACTACTAATTTTACATTAACACATTAAGATAGGAAAAGGAGAAAATATGTAAGTGGCACTGATTTACATATGCAAGACTTACGTAATGAACAGTACTATGGCAAAACTAAAAGCATTTTATTAAAGTCTCTACATAATACTTACAAAGCTCATTATTCTTCCAGCAAATTAATATTCTCTGTCTCACTAACACTATAAGCAAATGAACTGTTTTAGTTAAATTAATATTCATGTTAACTGTATGCAAAATCAACTAATTAAGTAGTTCTATAATATTAAGGACATATGTAAACAGAGTCTGTGATCAATTTTAAGAATAACCAAGTAAATCATACAGGATTTTTTGTGTGAATTTGGCTGGGTCTTCAGCAACCTGGCCTACCGGGAGGCATCCCTGTCCAACGGTGGAACCTAGATGATATTTCAGGGTCAAACTATTTTGTAACTCTATGTTCAGCCAGAAAATAATTCCAACTAAAAGCTTAAGTAACCCAGGTGCATTCTAAATATAAACCAAAACAGCAGCATAGTACAGCTGACTAGTTTTGATCTAAAAAAAATTTTAAAAAACTTTGTAATAAATAGATTATCTACATAATAATAATTGAAACAGAGCTCAGAATTCAATAATTCAATAATAATTTTTTTTTAATGTCTTTAATAAGTCTCCTCTTCACCTATTAGTAAGTCTTTACAGAAATGTTACAGCTGCTTTTTCTTCTTCATTTATGCAACCACATCAAATTTACATGAAAAAAACCCTAATGGTGATAACAAGAAAAGCTAAAGACCACAACATAATTTCTTTGAATTATGAAGTATCATTAGTATTTGTTTCTTAATAATCTCATTATATTTTTTTCCTAAGACATATATCATGACAATATTGGGACATCTCACAAAGGATATTTTCCTGATTGTGAGCTTGGGCTGCAGACAGATACTGTTTCCTAAATGCTAATAAGATACTCGAAGTTTTGTAGTGAGACCATTGAATACTACCCCTCTCCCTTCCCCCAAAGATTCTGTCACAATTCATCAGCAGCAAATTTGAACAGAGGGGTCTTCACAGCATGTCAGGTAGAAAAATCAACCACAACAAAATAAGGATGGATTTTCCTCAAAGTAGGGATTTCAAGCACCAAATAATATTTCTACTGCAAGAATTTCAATGGAAAAAAAAAAAAAAATACATGTTGCTGAAAACAACCCACACAGTCCCAATGCTAAGCAAACTAAACCCTTACCAAGCTGAAATTGCACTTTGCTGGATAGCTGCATTTATATCAGAAGCACAAATTTATTACTGCAGGGTACTTTTAAATACTGCAGGAAATAAAGTCATCTTATAGAGAATAAATTAGCTATGTGGGGCAAAAAAAAAGATTAAATTTGATTTTAACAGACCTGAAATTTTTTTCTTATGGTATTAAATCTCTGATACCTTATTTGCAAGTGGACACTATAAACTAGAAAAAATTAAGAATTTCAAGTTGCTGCACTTGAATACAGCCATAATCTGTATTCAGCCTCAACAAGTAATTTCTACTATTTCTTGTCTCTGCAACAAGCTTTAAAAAATTAAGTGATCAGAATTACACTGAAGATCTTGAATCATTCATGTATGATAGGCAAGTATTGCAGCAGTTAAAATTACATTGTTTTAAATTATAACCTTGTTTTATATATCTAGGTTTTACAGAATTTTATGAAGTGTAAAATTGCATTTATTAACCTTCTGCCATGTCTACCAGACTTCTGGAAAAGTATTCATACTAGTGCAATCTATTTCTGGTAAAGAAACAAATGGAAAGAGAAAAAAACCCCAAACAACAAAACAGAAAAAAAGCAAGCATGTCTACTTTTCACTAGCCAAATAAACTTCATGTGAATTAGTGAAAGCTTTGTGTGGATAAATAACAAAAAATCAGGAACATGCATCCCACCCATATTCATGAGCTGACTGAATACACAAGACATAATATACAACAAAATACTGGATTCGGTGAAATCAATGTCGAAGAGCTGTTGTCATATCTAATGGTTCTTGAAATACATCAGATATAATATTTTCCAGTAACAGTTTATGGCCAGCTAAGTATGTTGATGTGTATATTATCTGGGACAAACAGACAGATAAATTTTCTCCCAGAAAAATAAGGGCCACTGTGCTACAAGGGATGTTCTAAGTCATCAGAGGCCGTGGTCTCCTGACAGAGACCAACATCACTGAATACCTTTCCTAAGCCAAGCAAGTTCCATCATAAAGAAGTACTGGTTTTGCTCCAGCTAAACCGTGAAATAGGATTGCCAGAATTTTCAAGAACCCTCCTCTAAACTCATGTTTAAGTTTCTGAATTATCCTTTTTTCTGTTTCAACACTGGCCAATAGCTTGAACAGCCTCTTTTTGTCACCAACTTCATTTATAACTTGAACAAGGGATGGTTCAGAACTGAAAACAGTACTGCATACTGGGCTCCACCATGCTTTTTAAAACAACATTACTACCCCCACTATCAGCAATGCAGTTCCCAATGAATCACAAACCATTTGCTTATCCTGTAGTTGCAGTCCTGTCTCTATCCCACTGCAGCCAATCCTTAGCCCTCTGAGAAATTTAACAACAAAGCATCAATAGCAGAGATTTGGAAGAGAAATGAACAACAGAATTTTGTAAAGGTCTGTCACATCTCAGAAAGAAAAATAGCAATTCCTTCAATAGTCACTTTGCATGTGATATTCCAGGATTGGGACTAAGCATATGCAGCTTAAAGAAATGCAAGTCATAGCCAGCAAGAAAAGAGAATCTGCTGGTTTTATATACAAAGAAACAAACCCTACACCAAACAAAACGTCTAAGCTAGCTAAACCTCCTAGTACATACATTTAATTTGTATCCATTTAGTGTAGATTCCCTTTCTCTGGATATGGAAAGAAATGGAATACCATGCAAGTTTTAGACCTAAATTATGACCACCTAACAGAATTTTTAAAAATATCTATAATCATATTTTAATGTGTAAGTTTCCTATTGTCATTTTTTTAGTTGACAAATATCTATTTCATAGCAAAACAACATCATAGGAACAGCTGGATGGCAGTTTAAGCTCAAATGAACCAATGTCACATGCTGACAAGTCATCTCTCTGATTGCTTTTGAATGGCAGCACATGCAGATTTTTTCTATGCCATAAATTAGAACAATTATTTCTCTGTACTTCACTTTTTATTTCAGTGAGCCATTGCACATATTTTTAAAGGATATCTTCCCTTTCCTTGATGATAAGTTCATTCTGCTCCTCTAGCTGTCTGATCTTCTTCTCAAATGATTCCTGTTCAGCTTTCAGCCGTTCTTCTGTCACCTCTTTTTCTTCACTTACCCTGAAAAGAATTTTGAGAAAAATAAAATATATGTCCATAACCACAGTGCCTGACTTCCAACTCCTCCACCACTTTGCAGGTAAATGGATAACATCCTCTTCACCCTTAAACAGGTTAGTTCCTCACAATGTTTATAATACATTACACAGGAAGAGGCATATGACCTTACGCAATACTTTTTTTTTCAAAAACACTGGTCTCAGTACAGTACATGCACATTAATAAGGAGCATGGAATAACAAAGTTAGGGTCTGAACCCACAATTACGTTTGTCCAGTCTAATTCTCTGCAGCCATAATGAAGATTCACTGGGATACTTACAAACCTAGGACATGAAGACAGAAAACGCAGATGGGAGAGTTTAGCTGACATGACAGGAAGAAAATTCTGGAAAACTTTTATGTTTCTTAATCTATAAACTAATCCTTCTTTCACCTTTTCCGGTCAAATAGAAGTCCAGGAAAGAATAATTTTTCTTGTTAGCTTTCTCCAAACAAAACAGTTTGTCCTTTTCTGAGGATCTTCAAATATCAAGCTGCAGGCGTAAATTTTCCTTTCTGTCTGGGGCATGGCACCCTGTATCTTGCTGCTCAGTGTAAATAATTGGATCAAGATTAAAAGATGACAATGGGAGAAAGGTTTGCAATGATCATTTATTGTGCACCTCAAGAGCAGGCTATAAAAACAATTATTCTGCTATCACGTAGGCAAGAAGATCATTATGCACAGATGATCCTGTAACTATGCTAAAAAACGTGGCTTGGAAATCATGGTTCTATAAAAGCTCCACAAAAATATTAAGTAATGAGCTTAGACTAATAAATATTATTGCTCTGCACTTAGGCAATTTCTGCTGCTGAAGGCTCTTAAAGTTCAGTCTTTTATGATGATGGAATAGCTGCCACAACACAGGTGACAGAAGACCAAAGCAATACAACTTTTAGAAAACTCCAATTTTAACTTCCTTAAAGTGGAACAGTCTTATAGGAAGAGGAAAGGGAAGGGGGGGGAAATGAAATATATATATATGTGTAAGTATTAGACTAAGCCTTCCACTCATCCCACTAGATGAATATTCTGAACAGAATGTTTCATTCAAGGACTGAGCCATACATTTGATATCATTGTTCCCCTTAAGAGGGCACAGATTTGTTTTGTTTTCCAGTGGAAAAGTCATAAATACCACAACTGGGTCACTCCCCTGGCGTCAATTACAGACAAGCAGTATTCCCCAACTCCAAGATCAACCCACAGTCTTTCCCATACCAGCTCAAGCAGACTGCATGAAGTTGAAAATAATAATACTGAAACTCATACTTTTTCTCTACAAACCTAGAGGGAGACAGACAACGGATACTGGATAATCAAATTCTCTAAATTAGGGCAGTTTGAAATCTTAGATCAAACTATTAATTGTAAAGTTTCTAATATACAGGAAAAGAAAAAAAGGCACAGATTAAATGTGTGCATTCCATTTTTAGTCAAATGCACAAGGTCTCACTTACAACCTTGGGCCTAGCCTGGGAAGGTGTGATGAGATCAACCTGCTCCTAGGCCTCTTCCCCTCCACTCACAGGTTGTCAAAAGGGTTGTGCACATAGCATTAAAGAAACATTGTAGTGGGAACTACCTGTTTAAATTCTGGAACCACACCAGCACCTCTGCACTCCTTAGCTAAGCAGGCAACAAACTTTTGACGAATATCCACCATACATCCTTGCAGTAACAGCCACAGCATATTTGCCACAAGCTCTAGATAGAAGTTTTCAAATCCAATCATGGCCCATTTTCTTCCTGAGTCCAGCGCAACCACCTAAATTACTACAGCATGCATGACCTTCCTTCATATAACCAGTGAAAGATGCAAAACCAAAAAAAATTAATTAGAAAACCACAATGAAGAACACAATGACCATGTAGATGAAAGACAGGAATGAAACAAGAGCAGGGCAGGCAACTGGAAAGAGAGAACAAGTACCATCTCCAGGATTCTTATGAAAGGAAGGAAGCCTGCTCTGTAACTTGCAGGAATGATGCTTCATGAGGAAAGGGTTTTGGGCAACAAACACTGGGCTATGCTGGCACCCAATAACACTAAAATTGAACAACAGTATAAGAAAAGAAAGGTATGAAAGAAGAGAGCACTAGAAAAATCAGATTAAATCTATCAGACTTTACTCATCTCTAGATTCTGTGATCTGTTCCTTATATCAGTGTGCATCACATTCACATGCTGTGTTTCTATTTAAGACATATCACAGCAAGCTGTCACACTCCCAGACACATGAATATATTGTGCCACATATCTTATGCTGTAAATGACTGAGAATGGTAAGCGATCTCAGAAGAAATGTGGCACTATGTGTTTATGTATCACAAAGCAGGAGACAGTCCATAAAGGCAACACACAAAAGTTGGTTACTCACAGGAGGTGGCAAAAGGAAGTTAAAGAAAAGGAATACAAGAATCTCATCAGATTATGCTGGATTTATGTCACTTACTATAAACAGCTCAATGAGTTGCTAGATTTTTTTTTAATAAACTTATTTCTTTGCCTTCTGGCAGTAAAGAACACTTACATAATTTTTAACAGAACTATGGAGGACTTCACTGATGCTGTACAAAAACATTACAAGGATCATATAATGCTCCTCAAAAGTATTTTCGCCCTCTGTTCACATACTTGGGTCAGTGAGAAGATCAGTGAAAGTACGAAGGCACAAGTACAAAGGGCTCAACTGCTCCACTGAGCAACATGCTGGTATCCAGCTCCATTGTTCTTGCTTCCAGGATCAAACAGACAACTGACAGCTGAGAGCAAAGATGATGAATCAGTGGAACTATTCCTTCCATTTAGTGTCTGCAACATTTTCTTGCATTCCATTCACATTCACCTACCTTGTGCCATAGGACATGCAACATCTTTGTTCAAGATTTGCTTTAAATTCAACTGTTCAAAGCCTATATAATTCTAGATGCATCTAAATAAATCATTTTAATTTACAGGACCCTCTTTAGAAAAACTCATAATGCAAATATATTAACAAAAAGCCCTCCTAGGACATCCACCTTAGTCTTAAAAATTAATTATTCATTCACCAGTTCCATTTATTACTGTGTGCTCCCAGGTCCACTGCTGATATTAGTATTTCTGTCTAACCTAAAGAAGGAATTGATCAAGAAGTTCGCTGATGACACTGACTCATTCCACTGAGTAAGCAGCACTGATGCTCTCCAGGTGCAATTTTTGAAGCACTGCACAAGTCAACAGCACTTCAAGTTTTATTTGTTTAATGAAAAACTGACGTGCACAAGAAAGAGCCATGATAATACTCACATCAACACTACACTAGGGACAGAACTCAGCTCTTTCTGACTGAAGGCAAAGTTGGAAAAGCAAATTAAAAACAGCATATTCTGTTTCTTAAAATTTTTAAAAAATGAGCTTTTACCAAGAAAAATGTGAAATGCAGTAAGAACATTGCAGCTCAGATAGTTAAGACAGAGACAAACTAAACAAAAAACAGAGATACAGACACTGGGAACTTCACTGATCAGTCCTACACTCCTTGGGAACACTTATCTTTTAATAAACACCGATGTGGTATTAGTCTGCCAACTGGCTAGCAAAGAATAAAAAAGTTTAGTGACAGTTCTTGAAAACTACGAGTTCTAAATTCCAGGCAACGAATGTCATCTGGAACAGGGAAGACCACCATGGAGGGGTGGGGGAGAGGGGGAAGAAAGAAAGAAACAGAATTTTTGTCCAAGGATCAGGGTTCACAAACCTGATATATTTTACTCAAGCAGTTTGTACACATTAGGAAAAAAAAAAAAAAACCCTGCTATGGGCCCAAAACCTAATTGAAATAGCTACACAATGGATAAATTTTACAATATGCAACCTGCAAAATACAAAACTAGATTTCACAGCATGAATTTATAGCTACAAATGACTTTTTAAGCACAGAAAGTAAGTGCGATTGGTGATACAATAATCCTGGGCATGCTTTACCTATCAACACAAAGCAATTTCCAGACAAGCTTAAGGATATCTCATTTACAGTATCACTGCCTGACCAATTAAGAAAATGCAGCACAAAATTGCCCCTAAAGTAACACACAAAAAAAAGAGAAAATATTTAGATTTTAAAGCAAGATAACAATTTGGTTAAACACAAAGTAGTGTAACCCAGGAGAGACAGCAACACAAGAGGCCAAACACATAAGATTTGTAATGCAAACCACAAGCAAGTATTCCTTCAAAGATCTTAAGGACTGGAAGAAAAACAGCAAATATACACTATAATAGCTTTACTGAAACCATTTCAGTGGTTTCCAGTTTTGCAACCAAATTAACACTCTGTTCTGACGCCCATTTTCACCTTCTGTTATAAAATTTCAATTTCAGTTCATCAATTTAAGCATCATATCAAAGACAGTAGAAAAGACTGGTATCCCAAACTGCTACCACCCTGCAAAGGGTTTAGGTATCCAGGATCTTGGGAAGAGAGAAGCAGTTTCTCAGTAAGGGATAATAGGCTGTCTGAAGACTGTTCTAGTAGCTGCCAGTTACAAGTCATTCTGGGCATGCCGGTGATTTTAGCCAGAACACTAATATAATAGCAAAGACCATCTTGTATCTCATTTGGAAAGGGAAATAACTCCCTCTCATGGGTGCAGAAGGGTATTATGATACCTTTCTACCCAAATTGCTGTTGAAGATTTGTTTGCAAAGACAACAGTAAGTCAGCTTTCTCCCAGTTTATCTTATTCAAAGAAAGAAAGAATGCAAAATAGATACCAATTTTTTCCACTAAAAAACAAAATTTAAATTTTCATTAACCATTCTACATCACTTAGTCAATGCTTCTGTTCACTCAAAAAAAGGTACATTCCATATGTGAAGCTGTACAGGCATTTGTGATCACGGGAGAAGTATTTATGATGTACCTGCCACACTAGGAGCACCAAAGTCACAGAACTGTGCCTATATACCAGTCAGTAGTGAAGTGAATCTTGCAAACACATACATATTCACTCTCTCTGCTAAGGAGTTATCATCCTCTCTATTTAACCAAAGGCCAAGAAAGAAAGATCTCTCAAAATCTGCATATCACTCAAAGTATTTCACTCTAGAATACTTCATAATCAGTCTCAGTGTGGTGTCTACCAAGCCCTTAATGTTCAACAGTCAACTGGCTATGTCCCAGCAGGCCCTACACTGCTCCTTCTCAGAAGAGGCTAATGTGTTCTGACACTGGCAGAGAGTGCCAGCATAACAATCTTTCTGTGTCTTCATCATGTCACTGATCATTTCATTACATAAGATGATGACGGTTTCAGGAGCAGCCTGCAGGAACAAAAGTTCAGAGAGAGTCCTCTTCACCTCTTTGAAAGGACTTTGCTTATAGGGATAAAATTTGCTCTTAATGTGCCACTTTCACCACCACACCAGGAGGACCTTATTGAAAACGTGAAGGTGCCACACTGGTTGTCTTAGAAAATAATGACTGATCACACTCAAGGATATTCCACTTACCCACAAAGCACTTTGGCACACATGGGCATGACTCATTCTTCTCAGAAATTCCTCTACAAAAGCAATTTTAAAAGAATCTGCTGACACAATAAATTAAAAAGCTCAAATTTGCAACATTCAAGTATTTTAAACTCTGGCTTCTGTCTGCCACTCTCATTTCACCTTTAAAGGATACATTCAAAGAAGGGCAAGATAATGGTTAAATTTACAGGTAACAGCACAGATCAAAAATTATCATTATTTAGCCTAGAAAGGAGGATTAGAAAGGATGCAGCTGAATCCTTTCTTTAGACCCTGTCCCAAAATCCAACTCCATACAATTCCAAACTGCTAAGGTAATGTCAGACACTGGAATCCCCATCAGATCTTTATAGCCCAGAATCTCTTATTTTTTTTCCCAGAGAAAATTATATTAATGTAGCTAGCATCAGAATTTAGTCATACCAATACAAAGTCTGACACTTAAGCAATTTAACAAATGCACTGGCACACACATGCTCAATGTTTTAAAGTGCAGTAGGATTGAGAGTTGGAAGAAGTAAAAAATACAAAGAAAAGTACAGGAGAGCTCTCTCCTTCAGTAGTCACAGAAGCTGGGGAAAGACTACTACCCTGAACTGCTCAAGCAAAACCTGGCTGAAATTAAATTCCCAGGAGTCAATCATATTTCACAACACAAACAGAATTTTATTACTTTAAAAGAGCTTTCATGCAGCTACTTACTGACCAATCTATTTCTCTTCACCATCCTGCAACAAATGTGCATGAATTAGCCTCAACTACTATTCATAAATTGTAGCAAAATGAGGAACAATGAGGTACAGCCCAAGTGAGACCTTTATTATTCCAAGTATTTACTGCAGGACAGTGTTCTTGTAAAACTTTCAACATTCTGCTGCTCCTTTTTCTTCTCCGAAGTAGCAAAGAATGTACTACTGCTTGTAAAAACTCTCTATCATTGCACAACTAAGGATGAAAATTATGGAGAGTCTTAAAAAAGTGACGAGGTGAGCGGAATTAAAGTTCAACTTCCCTATTACTCTGCAAAGGACTTTTAATTACATCCAATAAAAATATGATTAGGTTTAAAAATAAAAGAGAACTAAGTATAAAATAATAGTGTTCCACTAATTTTACTTTTCAAAATTAATGTTGCTGCACCTTCTATTTTTCTTCAAAGAAATGTCAGGCAGAAATACCAAACTGTCCTCAGGGAAAAATCACAGCATCTGAGATTTAAGAAGAATCCCATGCTCGAATGAATTGCTGTACTACTATTCACTAGGGACCAGTGTATTATAAGGAACAATGTAATAATGGGCTTTTTTAATATTAGAATATACCTCTATATATCAACAGTGGCAACAGTGGCAACAGTGTCCAAATAGGTCCAGCATCTGACAATTTGTAACCAGGCTTCCCACCAATCTACTCTTTATGACAGTCTTAACTATACATTTTCTAACAGAGGGCATGATAAAAATGCAAACATGAAGAACTTCAGAAATTACTAAAATACTGTGTGGTAAGAAATTCTGTATTAGTACAAATTATTAGCAGGTAAAATGGTCCACTGGATAGGGATAATCAGAGGGAAAATATTCCTAGCTGCACCAGAGAGTTATTGCATGACCTTGAGAAAGTCACTTAATTTCTCTAATTTTCCAAATTTTCCTATATAAAATGAAAAAGGACAGTAGTGCTTGCCAATTATTACACAGACATAAGGGATCTATGTCAAAAAGCATTTAATTACTAAGAGAAATTAATAACAATAACTTCCAGCCCAAAGGACCTGGGATCATCTCACAAGAGCTTCCCCACCAATATGGCAAAGCCTGCCAAAGCCCCATTTGCTCCTCCTCATTTTTACAGACACTCTGTAAGAATCCAGAGATTCTGAGGTTTTAGGGACAATGAACAGGACAAAAGTCTCCTCACTTTAATTCAACTTTTTTTTTTTTTTTTTTACCTCCTTTAGCTTTGAGAATGTAACTAGCACTAGAATGAAACGTAGAAAAAGACTTCTGCTAAAACTGAGAAACTTGCACTATTTCTACCTCTCTTTTCAAGGAATAGGTAGAATTTGAAGAAATTAAGGGAAGCAAGAAGAAGCTTGGCTAGGTAAGTAAGAATTACACAGGCAAATCATTACCAACCTGTTTCAGCCACAAGATCAGCAATGCACTTTTAACATGGCCTTCCATATAAAAACTTACCTCTGCCAAATAATAAGCACTACAACACAGCATGGTTTCATACCAACAAAGTCTGTAAGTTCCAAAAGCAGAATGTGTTTATTTATAGCACTTGATACACACAACAAACAAAATCCTAGCCCTGTCAAATGAAGTAGTGCTGGTCATGAAATTTTGGCCTCTGCTCTAAATATGTATTTAGGGGCTCAGAAAGCAAGGAAAAACCAACCAGGCTGCTTCATACTTTTTCTAGGAAGAGAAATTACCTTGTACAAATATTCAGGTTTTTAAAGCAATTCTACATTGCTTGATGTTAATTAGAGAAATGACTCTCTTTAAACTTAATGCATTTTCAGGTGATGCTTCTTCTTACCTGGCAAGTTCTTTAATTAAGTTTGCAATGCGTCTCTTGTCCTCAGGACACAAATCCTTTAAAGAAGCACTCTTCATTCCTCCTTCATTAGTGCCCTGAAAATTTAAAGTTACATTTTAGAATGTACTGTTTAAAAGAAAACAAATATTTCATAAACTATTAAAAGCATTTCAAGACCTAATAATTAGAATCTGAAAGATCAATTCCAACTGGAAATAAAATTCATATATTTTAAAATGTAAGTACATTTCAATGAAACAAATTACCAAATTGTGATGAATTATTTTAAAGGATTTGTAATTCAAATGCAAGTTGCTAGCTTCAATACTAAAACATGCTGGATAAATTTTAAGACATGCACTATTCCTTGATTCATACTAGATACAGAGGAGTAGGTTCTCATGACTTGGAGATCTGGTGCAGCAATATCCAAATCCAACTTCAAACTTTATCATATCATAACGTAGGGAATAAGGAAAAAAACATGTGCCTTAGCATTTATGACCAAAGCATATAAAACAGCAAAATATTTTTAGCAGAGAGCATATCCCTTATTTCATTTTCTAACACAGAGAAAAGCACACACACCTTCACATGTGTCTACTGTTTCATTTTAATGGCTTATTTGCTTATTTAGTAAATATATAGTTATGAATATATATAACGAATATTTTTTTCGTGTATATATATATATACACTATACAACTAAATATATGCTGCTTTCGTAAGTAATACTTGTCAAAAGAAGGCTCTGTAGCAGGGCTGAGCACTACAGATCTTTCGCGCATTCCCGAGAACGCAGAGAACCGCTGCACTTTCCATGTGTGTCCACCAGAGGGCACTCTGCTGCCCGACATTCCCGACTTCGGCTGTTTCCACACACAAACTGCTCCAAACTGGTTTTAGTCACCAAAAATTCCTCTGATCGGGGATTCAGTTCTGCAGCGCTAGCGGTAAACACGAAACACGAACCCGAAAATAAACGCAGCAGTAAGAGCCACGCTGCTCTGTTCAGGATTTTGGAAAGTTTCAGTATGTCCACTCCATCTGAAGGAGTATCAGTTTAACCTTTTACAAAACCCCCCAAGTGCATATGTAGTGCTTTACATCATCTAAAACAATGCCATGAGACGCCCTGCAGTTTGGCCAAGTCAACACAATATTGCACAAAATAATACAAAGCCAATACAGGGCTTCTCTCACTATCAGCAACAGCAGCTGATCTACACACACCAGAGAGGAAGTGACCCCTTTCCTTCTTAGCTAATTAAACAGCATCTTAAAAACAATTAAAGAATAATGTCCACTACAAAGAGAGGCAATGTTTTCACACAGACCCATGTTATACCTGCGTGACCCTTCATTTTAACTTCAGTGTACTCTTCTCAGGGGCGAGGGGGAAAGCAATTTCACAGGGCAATTTTCAGCACTTTTCAAGGGGCATCCAATTTCACAGTTTTCTTCCCAAATATATGTCACTTACAAATAAAGAAAGAATGTCTAACTTGACTGAATTCAGCTAAAAGTATGATTGAAGGAATTTCACTGTGTATGCTTAAAAAAAAAGGCTTTTTTTTAAGCAGATGATGGAACTTCAATAAAAATGAAAAGTTACAGTTCTCAAAAAAGAGAATGAAGTTGATTACATTAGTGAAGGGGATTTTAACAGAAGATCTCAAAAACTACTACTCAAACCAATGTACGTACTGTCAGACAAACTTTTGTGGGATGAAGAGGAAAATCAGTTTTTTCTATCACCCACAAGTATGCAAAGATGATACACAAGAAACTCCCAGAGGCAGACTTGTACCATAACACATATCAAAATGAAGCTGTGGATAATGCACAGAAACAGCTCGACCATCTAAAGAAGACCACAAAGGAGGTAGAGGGCAAGATTGTCTCCTTTTTCCAGACTTCTCTCCTTTCTACACAGTTCAGGATAGAAGACAGTTTTGGAGTAACTCAGTACAGGGAGGATATTCTCCACACCTTGGAAGGTGATAACTGCATGACAAAATCATACAGAATCACAGAAAGGACCACAGCAGTTCAGCTACTCCAGCCTAGAGCATTTTACTCAGAATTATGTCCAGGCCAGGCTGGATGAAACTCTGAGCAGCCTGCACGAATGGAAGGTGTCCCTTCCCATGGCAGGGGTGTTGGATGGATGATCTTTGTGTTGGATGTCCCATTCAACACAAACCATTCTATGACTCTATGCCATACTAAAGCCGTCAGCTCTCACCTAGACATGCACACAATGCTCTGCATTAAGTCAGTTGTGTTGTTGATGAAAATTCCATGCAAAAGAAGTTCTTCTTCGACAATGGGTAAAAACATGTGTGCTGTTTGTTTCAAGTATTCAGAGCTTATCTCCAGAGTACAAAGTTTCCATAAGAATTTGGCAAGGCAAGCGAAAAACACAAGGTTTAAAAAGACAAAAATGAAACATAGCTTTGAACACATCTTGTTGGCAAAAATACAAAAGCACAAGTCACCAATTAAGATTTCATGTATCAGGCATTATATTTAAAAACAGAGTACACCAAACCCATTTATATAATGGCTTTCACAAAAAAGGAGTAAAACCTCTCTAGACAACAAGTAATGCAATCAATGCACCATTCAACAAAACAGATTTTAATGTGGCATATGAAGGCATCTGTGAGGCAGCAGGCTTGTAGATACTTATGAAGAGATGCTTCTACATAAAGACTCTGCATAATGGGGGCTATTTGTGGAATTTATCTGCATGCCACTGAACAGCATAATTTGCAACATAGAGGTACATACCAGCCTCTAAAAGCAAGTACCAAAAAAAAAAAAAAAAAAAAAAAAAACAACAACAAAAAAAAAAACCAGAGAAAGGGAAGTACACAAGTCCAGGAAAAGCCCTAAAAATTAATTCTGGTGTAATAACGATGCGTCATGCTGAAGGATTCGAAGGGCAATGACATTGTCAAAGCAACAAGAACTGAGCAACCTGTCTTCACATCAGAGTTTTGAACCTGCATGTCTGGCACACAGCAGTTACTCAGCACACCAAAGACAGAGAAGGACATCTTAGATGAAGAACAAGATTTAACTGCATGATAATAAAACAGCGATAGAGAAGCAGCCAAAGGTTTTAGATCCCGCCTGCAAGTGGGAAGATGCCAAACGTCCAAACCACCAAAGTGCTTTACAGGCTGGCCCAAGATGACTGCTAGGCAAGAGACTCAACAGTACTCAAAGGGCTTACACAGTCATTGTACTACACAAACCACGTTAGAAAAACTGCATCTCTCAACAGATTTCTAAACATCACAGCATCTGTCACAATACAGAATAACCTTCCAAAGGAAACCCCGCTGCTTTGGAATTTCTAATGCAAGGAACTGTAGAAACATATCACCTAGTCTCACAGGAGGAGACCACAAAATTCAAAGCAGCTGACATCAACTGACAAAGCTACTTCTACTACTCAAATGAATTTTGAACTTTTACTATCACAAACAAAAAGTGATTTTACCCTTCTAACATGAACAGGCACAGCAAAAAGGTCCCTGAAATGAGTTTTTACTCCCGTAATTTCTAAATGAGATGACTAGAGCAATGAAAATGAATAAACAGAACAAAATTTCTTGCATGTTTACATAGTAAAGTATGCATTAGGCACTACCCAGGGCTACATGCACTGCCTCTGTACAAACACACACACAGAAATATAAATAATCTATTTTACATAGTCCCACTTACACACTACTTACATATATTAGCACATTCAGCCTTTGTTTTCTTCAGGTGATAATTTCTGCTACAAAGCCACCATGTAAAGTGGGCAAAAAGTGTAAGAGACTGTAAAAATAACTACTCTAAAACTGTTTAAGTGTTTTCAATCTAAGAATTTTCATCTGATTTTTCAAATATGTGCACTCTTAAGAACAAGAAAAGCTGGCTTTTACTGACCTGCTGCCCTGTGCTTTTATCAGGATACATGGAAACAGAAGCAACAGCTACAGGCACCTTAAGTTCTGTTTGACTTGTTTGATATTTTGGCAAACGCTGTGTTCTTAAATTTCCTTTTGTAGGCACTCCTGTAAGTGAAAGACAAGCAGAACATGCAGATTATAAAGTGAAAAGTGGTCTTATTCTTGCCTTCCACAAAGGCAACTTTGCCTTAGCAGATCTTTTTTTGAAAAGAATGAGTACCTAAGGAATAGGTCTGCAGTTCCCCCAGCCTCTCATTCCATACAAAATTTCATTAAGATGAATGTATCAGCAGAAAAAGAGGTGCATGGCACTGAAGCACACCCAGCCACAATGAACATTTTGTAAATTCTGAAATGCACATTATTTCTTCAGACTGAAGTTCAGTACAAATAAACTGTATTTGAGTAAGATGCGAAGGTATAAAATTGAGCTTTTGCTTTGATACCCAAAGACAGTAAGGAACCAACCAGCAGTAAAGCTCTTAAAAGCACCACTCATATAATAAAATGTCACTGTTTCTGTTACACAGCCAACCTACTGATGCTCAGGCTGTTTGTTCCTTTCAGGACCAGGCAAATGAGTAAGGCAACACTGCAGTGCACACTCCACAGATCATTTGTCAAACACTTCCTGCCATAATTAGAATTAGATCACCACTACAAAAGGTAAGAACATGAAAGCACTGAAAATCCTGATGCTGCAATTACAAAGTGCCAACACTGACACTAACACTAAAACCTCCCAGGGACAGATTAAAGCCCATACCTACTTGGTACTGCCTCAAGGTTTAAATTTTGACTATTCAGAAGTGCAAAAAATTTTGAACAAAAAAATATTAACCTCATACTAGCAGATCAGTTACAATTATTTGGGTAATTAATTTCAAAAGTGTACTAGAATTCAAGTGAAAGAACTAAATTATAAACTCTAGTATCTCCATGCTTGTACACAAGTGAAAACAATGGTCCTGAAATTCTCTTTCACAGAAGTGACAGAAAACTTCCCACAGTGAATCAATTTCCATCATTTAGCATCACTGCTTTCTTTCCAGAGCCCTGAGAAAAACAATCCAACATCACCTGGCTTAAAAATCCCTGCATGTGTTTTGTAGTGCAACAGAGATGTTTGGCCAGCAGTTTTGAAGGGTACCACAAACCAAAAGAGTACAATTCCTTAAAACTTATGACTGCTGGATGATGCACACACACTTTCAGTCTACAGTGAACCATTCCCAGATACGTTTCCAGGACCTCGTGTCACTTTAACAGCTGTGTTTGAAAACAATTAAGAGAATTCTGGAGGGGGAGGGGAACTAAGAACATTCATCTTTTCCCCGGCGATGTACACAAGTACGCACTCAGTAAATCAAGGTCAAAAGAACTAACAAAAAAATAATTGTTTTATCTGTACACAATGAATCTTCATTTCAATTGATATCTTCAAAATTTACAAACGACCTAACACCTCTAATGCTTCAACATTCCTTGGAGACCACATTAAAAACTCAGTTTTCCTTATAAATTGGATAAAGCCACACTGTACCTGCAACAGGAACAACTCCCCTGGAACTATTCATCTAATACAGTATGCTTATCTAAGCAGCAGAGCATAAATCCTCTGCTATAATCATGTATGTTCCATTACAACTTATGGTGACTCTCTACCTTACACACATTTATGTACACAAACCACACACCTCAAAAGACATTGAAAATTTTATCATCCACAGGGAAAAAAAACTTTGTTTATGTAAATTAGAAGGTCATACCTGAAACAGGTACAAGTGAATCTTCTTCATCAGAAGCTGCATGTGGCTTTGTTAAAGAAAATAAAAAGAATGCAAGCTTAGCTCTTTAAACAGGACTGTAAAAAGAAGTATTTGGTCTCTAAATTTGGCATAGCTGTTGATAAGAAAACAGTCAACATTTTGGGAGCAAGAAAAGCAAGGAAAACTTGGTTAAAAAAAACACCACAAAGATTGCTAAAACAAAAGGCCTTACTCCTTCTTCACTGTGCATTAACTTTCAGCCTGTAAAGATTATGTCAGAGGTCACCTTTGCAAAAGGTCCCAGAGACCAGCTCCAGTTACAAGAGCAATTAGTAAGATAATGAACTAATAATATTTATTTAAATTTAAACAGTTTATATGGAACATCTTGATGTGTAGGGAAAGCAAATTCTGAAACAGTGCTTATTGATATTGCAATGAAATCCACTCTGGGCAATACATTCTATGAAACATTAATGAGGATAAATGCAAAAGGTTTCAAACTGGTCATTCTCATCTGATCATCACGTGATGAGTAATACATAAAAGCCTGAGGACTGATTTTCTTTAAGAAGTTACAAGAACTTTCAAATATCCCAGAGGTTTAACTATTGAATTACTTAAGCACAGAAAACACTTTAAAATCAGAAACAACAGGGCACCGTATTATTTGTGCTATTAGCAGTCACTGAACTTGAACTTCAGCAGTTGCTGAACTTGAATCCCTGCCACCTAAAAGCCACTAAAAATAGGACTCAATATAATTAAGGAAAGGGTGTAAATCATACTGTCTTCCTTAAAGGAGCAGTTTCATTTAGCTGAACATAAAGATTGTCATTCCCACATAAATAACTAACATACTTGTGACTTAATCCCAGCCAGCAACTCTCTATCCACCTCCCTGCCCCAAGTGGGAGGAAAAACAGAGAGAAAGAGTAAACCTCATGGGTAGAGATAAGAAAAGCTTAATAACTGAAACAAAATAAAACAAAATAGGATAATAATACTAACTGCAACATAGAGGGCAGAGGGAGAGAATTAAAACCCGAAAGAAACAAGTGATGCACAGTACAGCTGCTCACTGAGCAATTGCCAGTTCCTTTCCCCAGCAGGAACTGGCAGCTCCCAGCCAACACTCCCCCATTTATGTACTGGACATGATGTTCTGGTATGGAATCTCCCTTTGGCCAGTTTCGGTCAGCTCTCCTGGACATGATCCCTCCCAGGTTCTTCTGCATCTGCTTGCTAGCAGAGCATGCATCACGCAAGCCCATGTTTTTGAGTAAGCACTGCAGAGCAAAATCCAAAACATCAGTGTGTTATCAGCATTATCCTCATGCTAAATACAAAACACAGCACACCAAGTACAAGGAAAAGAATTAACTCTATTCCAGCTGAAACAAGGGAATACTAAAGTGGAAAACAAAAGCACAGGGCAAAAAATTCTCCTCCACTATCTTTTGTTTATACCCCTTTACTTCCCTCAATTTTCTACAGTTGGCCAATTAACTCAACTATCAAATTTCTGTACTGTTAACAGACAAATGCATTTAAGGTTTTGCAGCTGCATTCATAAACTAAAATAGAATTGTGAAAATATTTCAATGACCCTAAACAAACTCTTGCCTTAATTAAAATTTGATTCTGATAGCACCATCTCAAAAACTTAACTTAGTAAATTACCACTGAGAAAATTAGGAAAAGTCTGGGAGTTTCCTCCTGTGGACAGCAACTTCAATCAACACCACTGTCCATCACACTGGAAGGGCCTGATCACAGACTCACTTATGACCTTATTGATGCACTTTATCACTTGTAAACAATTATCACTCATCAGCTTCACACCAGTTGAAAAACACATTCAGTGAGTACTGCTGTCAAAGCCGGCTCTCTCTACAAACACTGAGAGAGCATTTCTGTTCTCATGTGTGAGCTGCAGCCTGCCACCTCCAGCTGCCAGAATACACTGCATTGCACGAAGGGGTGAGGAAGCTGAACAAACTCAGCGAGGAAGGCACTGTCCATACCCTCTTTTCAAAAAGCACCAAGATGGATCAAAAGTCCAAGTCTGGATCACAGCCCAGCCCAAACAGCTGTGTCAGCACAGCCACAACAGCAAGCTGCAGGGTACTGAGAAGTGCATGTTCAGTTCACACTGCTTCAGGAAACAACAAACTTCAGCACAGGCAGTTCCTGCTCAACTGATATACGGTTAATCTGGTGTCAATATATGGCTATAGGAAATAAAATGATCTGCCTAAACAACATCCCGCTTTTAGAGTGTGTCTCTGGTATTGCCAGCTGTTGTGGATAAATTCCTAGCAGAAGGATGCAAAGACTAGTTAAAGTTGTCACTTTTAGTCCCCCACAGCTACCAGGACAACTCTCCTGGTGAAGCTTTGCAGCCCAGTGTATTAGAACAAGTCAAAGCTAGAGCAGGCTACTTCAATCAGCTGGACTGAAAATCACAGTGACTCACAAGCAATCCCTTGCCTCAGAGAAACACTGGGACAGGACCAGCATCAACCTTTTAACATTAACCCACTGCCACGTGCCTCCCAAGACAGCCAGTAAGGCAAGTGTAGTATTAAAAGCGTTGTACCACCATGATGCTGTTGAGGCAGGACGGGAATGAAATTACTCTGTTCAGAAGGCAAGAGGATAGAACTCTGATTTATTTCAAACTATATCACTCTTTTATACAGAGCTTCGTGCAGACCAACTCTATTGGTCCTGAAGTGAAAACAGCCACACCATTGGTGCACAGTGCATGACGCTCAGTGGTAGAATTTAACTACAAACAATGTGAACAACAGAAAAGATAAAGAACTTATTTACATTCTTCTCAGCAGTTTCTCAGGCTTCTGCCTGGTAAGAAATTTTCCGTTTTCTCTTTGACTGAATCTGAGACCTACACCACCACAGCTAAAGTTCAGTGCAACAGCAGAGAGAGGCACTGCAGAAACTCAACACCTGGGTCTAGCTCACCTATACAACCTGCCTTCCTATGCTGAGTCAATTCAACAAGGATGGAGAGAACTTCAGTTTTCCAAAGGTATTAAACCAATCTACCAAATTCCCCAGCCCGCTCCTCTTTTTTTGAAAGCATACACTACCATTAGTTTTAAATTGTGCAATGTGCTTTTCTAAGAATTTAAACTTTTACAAGACCAGAGGCAACACTGCCTATTCACCAAAACATATAGAATGGAAATGGTTGTCAAAAAGAACTTCATTCCTTGGAATATCATTATGCATGAGGCCACTGCTGGGCTCAATAAACCACATTTAGTCATATGAAACAACCTGTTCACTGATAAACATAGATTGTCAATGTAAATGTATGAACACTTTCACAACCAAGCAGAATAGTGACAGTGGCAATAAATCCAACATATGCCACACATCTTCATCCCATTCACAGCACAGAAAAAGTTGTAGACAACCTTTTTTTCTTTACACAGATAGAAAATCATAATGCCATGCTCCCTAAACAGGCCATGGGATGGTTACCCTGTTTCACTTGCACATTGTCCCAGGGAGTGTGCAGTCAAACATAAATACAAGAGCACAGACACATCCGCTTCTTTCTAATTTCTTCCACTTGATGCTGAAATCCCATTCTCGGTCTGACTAACAGCAATGCTTCAAACCCCTCACAACTGGAATTAAATTGTCAGCTTCAAAATTTCCACCAGGCCAGACTGTCAGTTCTACTCTAATGACTTCAAGTCACTGAGGCCCCAGCCCACCCACACAAGCCCAAACACCAGTGGCAGCTCTTGGCTCTCTGAGCCGCACAAGCACATCTCTCCATAACCAGGCTTGTACAGGCTGAGCTCCCAACACCACAGCCACCACCGACATCGACCTACATGTCCAGCCCCACATAGGCTCCCACAATAGGAACCTCCAGGTCCCCTGCAGATGAAACCACCACAACCTCACTCTCATCCCTCACAGACAGAGCCCTCCAAGTCCCACACAGGCTCACCCAAAATGCTGTGCTTGTAGTCAAGCTTAGGTGCCAGTCAAAAAAGACAGATGTCTTCCCTGCTCAGCTTCTAGCCTCAGTTTCAAAGAGTCACATAATCAATGAGGTTGGAAAAGACCTCTAAGATCATCGAGTCCAACCTACAACTGGGCACTGAGTGCCAGGTCCAGTCTTTTCTTAAACACTTCCAGGGATGGTGACGCCACCACATCCCTGGGCAGTCCATTCCAATGCCCAGTAACTCTTTGTGTGAGCAAATGCTTTCTAATGTCCAGCCTAAATCTCTCCTGAGCAGCTTAAGCCTGTGTCCTCTTGTCCTGTCACTTGTCACCTGGGAGAAGAGCCCAGCCGCCACCCAGCCACAACCAACCTCATGTCAGGCAGTAGTAGAGTTCGATAGGGTCACTCCTGAGCCTCCTTTTCTCCGGGCTCTTCAACCTCATTCTCTCTATTGATTCCCTGACAAGTCCCCATAAGCTGAGCGCAATTTCTCCATTTCCTGTGTATTTACTTGCCCCGAGATTTCACAACTGGGCCACACTGAAGAGGACTTATGACCCTCCCCTCTCCCCCAGGTCACTTTTGCTTTGAAATCCTGCGCACCCCCTAAAAACAGGCATATACCAAATCCCTCTCCCCAGGCCAAGCCCCCTCCACACTCACCAACGGAGCCCTCACATAGCCTCTGCCACGGCCACAGAACCCCATCCGACCCACAGCGCAGCATCGGTTCCACGCCAAACCTCCCTGCGAGGGGGGCTTCCCCGCACGCCCCTGGCGGCCCCCCCTGCCGCTGTCCCCTCACACCGCCCCCCAGGCAAGGATACACCCCCGGCCTCGGCGAGCACCTCCACCCACACCGGCGGCCGCCGCCGCCATCTTGAAACAGCCGCCACTCCCCACACACCCCCGCCGTCCCCCCGGCTCTCGCCGCCCATTGGCTGTCTGCGCCAGAGGCACGCGGAGGGTTGCGAGGCATGCCGGGAATCGTGGTCCTCTGAGCAACTGAGGCCGCCATGGGCCGATCAGAGCACCGCCCGGAAGAACTATTATTCCCAGCGCGCTCTGTGGCTACGGAGCAGTAGGAAGGCCAGAAAAGCATTGTGTCTGTCGGGCTGGTTAGAGGTAGAAGGGTCTCGCGGAGGATGGAGGAAAAACTCCCCGCCGGCATCAAGCCCTACCTGGACAAGCTCACCTTGGGCGTCACAAGGATATTGGGTAAGTGGTGTTGAGCTACAGCGCACGGGGCGGGGGCAGGCCGGGGGCGGGGGGAGCCACCCATTTGTCACAGCCCCTTCTGTGAATCGCGCAGCTGAGCAGCCTGTGCACATGCACAGACATATCCTTGTTTCTGGAAGCAGCGGCAGGAATCCTGAATCTCTTGACTTTAAGAGTTTCATAAACACCAGAAAAGGAGAAGGTAATGTTTTATGAAAAATCATGGAATCATTGAATGTTCAAAGGTGGGAAGAGACCGCAAAGATCATCCAGTCTCAGCCTTGATGCCTTGGGCAGGTAGCTCAAGGCCTTATCCAGCCTGGCCTTAAACACTGCCAGGGATGGACATCCCCAGCTTCTCTGGGCAAACCTGCCAGTGTCTCACCACCTTCAAAATAAACATTTTCTTCCTAATGCCCCAACCAAATTTCCTCTCTTTCAATTTGTACCCATTACTCCTTGTCATCTCATTTACAATTCATAATGAAGAGTGCCTCTCCAGGTTCCATGTAGGCCCCCTCCAAATATTGAAATGTTCCTGTGAGGTCTCCACACAATCTTCCTGTGTAAATAGCGCCTAAATTTGATTCTCTGTGGTAATGTGGGGTCAGCAGGAAGCATGCCCCATGGAGGGGTTTTCAGCATGGTGCAGTGTTCTGATAGAAGGCCAATTTGTGAATCTGCTCAGGATCAGATCCCCATAAATAGTTGCCCTCCAGCTCATTCCCACATTTAGACTTGTTCTACAAAATGTCCTGCTTGTCATTTGTAGGTTTTGCTCAGATCTTGAGCCTTCTTGCATCCACTCAGCTCCCTCTGAATTCAGCAGGACTGCAAGGCATCCAAAGGAAGTATTCTCAGACAAAACTTTACTCATATCGGTGGAATCACGAGGATTTCTTCAAGTATTTGTGTGTGCAAAAGATTTTAGCATTAGACCTTTGATACCTCAGCAGCACAGAGCACAGGACTCTCTTATTTGTAAGGCTGAAAAGCTGTACCTCTATCCTAAACATGTGAAACAAGATTACAAGTTGCAGTCTTGGAATTTCTTCCTGGGAATTTTAGAGCCAGAAGTGAGCTTTGCTATTATCTCATCCCAGGGCAGCATTGCAGGACAGTGAGTTTCACCTGGTAACCTCTATGTATCTACAGTGGCACATGGGTTTGGGTAGCTGCTCAGACAGATGAGATTAAAAGATCAGGGTTAAATTCTTTCTCTGAGTTTCAGTGTGGACAGGATTTCACCCTCAATCTCTGATCAGTGTTGTCATACTGACTTACTAGTGGACTTCTCGAGGTGGGGGATGGGTGGATTTTTTTCCTGTTTGTTTTCTTAGTTTTGAGGTCAGGGTGATGCTATCTCTACTCTGTGAGTGAAACTGATGATCATCATCATAGCAAAAGCTTCTTTCAAGTAGCTCTTTTTAAAAAATAGGACTAGCCCGCCCACATTTTCACCACCATCAGGTGTGTGAGAGCTTTGAGATGTGAGCTGTGTCCAAATGTCGTGTTGCCATATAAGCTGTTTTGGGTAGGTGTTTTGTCTGCACCGGCACGACATGGCAGTGCAGATATGGCTCTGAAAGTCCTGCAACATCCCTTTCAGGTGGAAGGTGTTTCCTGGTTTGTGTTTTCTTCTTTTTCTCTCTGCGTCTCTGACAACTTGAATTGTGCAATACAGCAATGTCCATCACAGTGATGTTTTACTCCGCTTCTTTTCTCTGTCTCTCCACACCTTCTGGGAATTTGGCACATTTTTCCCAGTAGTAGTCCAAGGCATTTCAACTGTGCCACCAAATTAATTAGAATTGTTTAGCTAATTCGGAAGTATTACCAGTCTGTTCAGTGCTTGTTTCTTTCAAATAACCAAGGGTATCTCATTCAGAATGACGCCTTGCTCTGTATTTATTACTACTAGAAACTATCTCACTTTAAATCTTTTGGAAAGTCTCATGAAGTCAGTTGCTATTTTCTGCCTAACATAAAGTACAATCAGTCATTGTTTTGTTGGTTTGGATTTTTTTTTAACTTTAGTCTCTGTGGAAGTCCCTACAAGAAGGGATATTTCTCACAGGCATTATGGAGGCTATACCTTAAGGGGGAAAAAGGGAGAGATCTTTCCCATTGCTAGTATTCACTTTTCTGAAGGTCTGTGAGTAATAGAAAATTCCGGAAAAATTTATTATTCATAATTAAATCAGCATGGAAGGTGTTAGCTCTGCTGGACTGCCCAAGACAGAACCATACTTCACTGTTACCACTTTCTATTAGATAAGAATGTAACTATTAAAATATTTTAAAATTGCACTGAGAGTTTAGCCAACTTACAGGCAGTATTAGCAGTACTGTAAAGACTGAAAATCTTGTGATTTCCTGTTTCAGCTTTGTGTCACATCACTACATTGATTATTTCTGATTAATGCTGCAAAGCGTTTTTTGGGAGCTTCCAGATGAAATGTCTTAAAAATAGGGCAGAGTTTACTATTATCTTGATTCAGATTAATTTATAGGGTGTAGTCTGAAGAAGTTAAGCTTTATCATGTATCTATATGCCACTAAAGCGGCTTCTTCATTTCTTCCATCTGGAAGGAAAAGCAACTCATTGCAAAGTTTACCCAAATGTTCAATGGCGCTCCTGTCCATACCTACACACATCTGTTAAACATGGTCTTCAGTTTACCCACAGTATATTTTTAATATTATAATTGGGCTTTTAAGATGGAATTTCTCTTTCTTTTGATCTTGGATTTGGTTCAAACCTCTTTAGAAGTTGAATTCTCTCATTCCTAGACATCTTCTTGACTGATACAAAATTTAATCTTCTGTTATCCCAGCCAAGATGTTGTGCATGATGAATTAAACATCCCTTCTGTTTTCTTTGATCACAGAAATAACAATTACCCTGTTATTATAATCTCCTCAACTTGTCATAAGGTTTGCATAGCTTAGATGGAAAAGACCAGTTAGGTAATTGATTCCACTCAGTTGTTCAGACAGCTTATATTTGAGTAAGAGACAGATCACTCTGCCTTGGACCCACCTACCAGAAGTCAAACTTGGTGAAACATCAGTCTTCTGTATGCTGGGGGTCCCCCTTGGCCAGACAAATTTACCTATGTGACCAAGTATGATTATTATTTTTTTTTTTTAATGTCTTTAACTTGGAGTTGGTTTATCTGATGCCATGTTTTTATCTTTTCAATTATCTGACGAGGTAACAATCAGTATTTCCAACTGAAGTGAAGTTTAGTGCTGAAACTGAGTGCCAGTCTTCCACCCACAGAACAGAGAAGGACAGTGCTATTGAGCGAATTAAAAGCCTGGCACTGAAGATAAAAAACAAACCAAAGCTCTCTAGTGCCTGCTTTTCCTGTCTGGTGCACTGTGTATGTTTTACCAGAAAGCAATTGTAATGTGTGTGACTGCTTTAGGGGCCAATACTTTCACAGCAGAGCCAGGCTGGAAAGCCTTGAATAGTTATCACTTCTATTCCAAGGCCCTGTCTGCTGGGCTTGCAGTTCCCACAACAATTTAGTAGTCTTTCTGGACTTGATCCAAAGAGAATTATCTCAGGGGGAATTATTTCATTTGGCTGTGGGTGACATAAAACATTATAAAATAGTAATTGTAAATGAGTCTATTCTGCTATCACACACCTGAAAGCAGCATGTGACTTAGTATCTTACATTCTTTCCCATAAAATATTCAGAATATTTTTATAGATTGATAGAAGTTCAGTGCTTGTAGCAAATTTTCCTGTGTCCAGCTGCGGTTTCAGAGAACTGATGTTTGGTCATACAGATCCCTTCAGCAGGATCAGGTTTCTGTGTCTGTCCAAACCCACTGAATCCAGAGCTGAAGGGTGCCTGCACTTGTGGACTAGGATTGTTAGCAGTTCACAGGAGCACTGCACTGCATCTTGTCCCTAGGTGAGGATATCCTACCCAATAAAAACCACAGGGCATGCTTACAAATAAAGATGTATTCCCTTGTAAGAGTTTGCCTCAAAACCCATCACTGATTTTTTTTTTTAATTTTCCATAAAACCTCTGCAAAAGATGATGCCTTGAAGACAAATTGTGCTTGCATCATAGAATCATAGAATGGTTTGAGTTGGAAGGGACCTTAAAGATCATCTTGTTCTAACCCCTCCCACCCTAGGCAGGAATGCCACCCACTAAATTAGTGTATGTGTAGATATATCACAATATGTGCATATATGCACATTTTTACATGTATAAAAAAATCAAAGAATAACATTTAGTGTAGCACTAGACATCCTTATGCCAAGAGATGCAAAGTACAGTTACAGACAAAAGAAAGTGACTGCTCAGTCACCAGCACAATGTGTGCAATCATTAATGCCTTCTCCCTGGCTGTCACTCATTAATTTGCAAAATTGACTGTCTCACAGTGTTGGTGTCACCCATGCCAGATGCAAACATGCTCCTCTTTTCCTTTCAGAGACTTCCCCAGGAGTTGCTGAAGTGACTTTTGTGGAAAAGGAGCCAGCTGAACGCCACACAATCATCTCTTGGGAGCAAGTGAGTATTTTCCTGATAAAACTGCAGTGAGGTCAGTTTGAATGTGCAGCAGCCTGTGGAGAATGTCAAATGCAATGGCAACCTTGTGTTCATGAGACAGCTTGTTACCAAGTTTGATGTACAGTGTAGTCTGAACAGGTGTTGTTGGGTTTTTCTTAATCAGGTATCACTCTTTCAGGCTGTCACATGCACCTCATCTAAGAAACATCATCAGTGTGAGCACATTCAGCATGAAAGCTCTAAAAAGAAACCACATAACTGTAGTAGGCAGCTACAGAGGTGACTCAGTGGGAGCAAACAGTTTTCTGACTCAGATCTGAAAACTTTTTCCAACTCCCTTTCAAACAAAACAAAGCAGTGCTTTATTATCCATGGCCATTAAAGGTAAAGACCTCAAGCTAGTAGATAACACTACCCAGTTTGTTTCAGTTATCTTTTTCTCATTTTAGTCTCAGCCATTTGCTTCAATTTCTCATATCCTTTTCTTTCACCTCCTCTTTGACTACCCAGCCTAATCTTTTGGCTAGGGCATGTCCCATTGCCTGTTTTAGAAGACTATGAAGGACAAATGCTACCTTCACTCTGCTTTATTTGACCTTACTGCATCAGTCTGTGTGATCAGAGGGCTCCTGAAAACTGTTGTGTGACTCTTGGCATTTTCACTCCCTTTTTGGAATATACGTATCTTCATAATCCCATGGCCATGGTTGAGTAACTGCATTGTAGGTGTTGCTTGTGTAGGGATGGGACAGTAGAGCTGGACAGTAGAGTTTCTGGCCTTTGGAAAGGGACATGGCAGAGAATGGAGTTGAGGAAATCATCCCCCCTCTGTTCTAACCCTGGCTGTGGCCTAAAGCAGCTGCTCCAAGAGACTGCTCTTGTTACCACTGCATGAAATACCTTCCCCTTTGGCACCTTGCCATTTACTACTTTTCCTAAACAATGAGGAGAAGTCTTGCACTAGTTTTGGTAATGCCCTATTCCAATTAGTGACATTTATCAAGAACATACATCATATATATATTTATATATATATATTCCAGTTTGGAATGTATGCGGTGTAAACCTCTGTGTTACTTACTGAAGCTTGTCCTGAAGTCAGCAGTTGTGGTCAGGGAGAAATGTCCTGTTTTTCAGGTTTGTGTAAACCAATCCCTGGTTTCCTGTAGCTGTTGTTCAAGTATTGTGCTAACTGAGCTGGAAAGTTTGAAGCACCATGACTGTAAGCCAGCTCAGCTCTGGGAACACAGAGTGATATTTGCTCATTCTTCTGTTGAGTGGAGAGGACTGCTTGTCCTTGACATGGTGCTCATTCCTCTCATTTTTAGGTGCTGCTTCTCTTCTAAACTAAAATGGGTTTATTTCAAAACTGAGCTATTCTTATAAAGCCAAACAAATGCTGTAGCTGAAGCACTTCATTCAAGAGAAGCCAAAACAAAATTTCAGCAATCGACTAACTCAATTGTGGAAGTAAATGAGTGCAGCTGAGTTGGACTTCTAATAGTGATAGACTTGGCTGTCTATTTCTTTGGGTTTAGTTCCCATTGCGTTGACAAATCAAAGGCCCCATCTCAAATAGAAAGGTAGCTGGATTTTTTTCCCTTTTTTTTCCCTTGAGCTCTGGAGATGAAGCGTAAATCTAACCCACTCTACACAGTTGCAGGACAAAATGTCCTGCCATGATGATTAAGTACAATGCACTCAACAATTCACAAAGCCGCTCCAGGATGAACTTGTACCTGATTTTTCCTGAAGCTTACCTTTCTTGAATTTGAATATGTTTTGGTTTGGTTTGGTTTGGGGTTTTTTGGGGGGTTTTTTGGGGGTTTTTTGGTGTTTTTTTTGTTTTTGTTTTTGTTTTGTTTTTTGTTTTTTGTTTTTTGTTTTTTTTTTTTTTAATCGGATTTATGGCCACTAGGTGGCAATACTTATGTATGTAATCAGTTCTCCGTGGCTGAGATTTTTAACAAGATTTTGTCAGAGTATATTTTTAACTTTCTTCTACATCTTTCGTTATGCAACTATTTGCAAACTATTTTTCTGTGATGCAGGAAAACTGGTGAAACTGTTTCCAAAACTACATTATTTTTCCCCCAACAACTTTTCTCTCTATTGAGACTCACCAAATAAAAGCTTTATTATTTAGATTATTGTTTAATGGAATCAATTTTTCCTCAGTTTTGCAAGATTGTTTTACTGAGAAAAAAATCCAGGTGTTCAGAAGCTCTTAAAAGAAAATCAACATTTTAAAAATTATTAATTAACATATTATTTTATTCATGCTGTGTCTTTGCATTTTTTGTTCCCATCAGCCATGTTTTCTAAGTTGTGCTGTGCCATGTTTGTGATATTATATAACTGGATACTGCTGGGTTTTAAAATCTCACCTTGCTGAGATTAAAATAATCTTTAAAATCTTAAGTTTGTTGAATGTCTCTTAGTTGCCATAAAGCTTTGCAGGGGAAGCTGAGCTTCATGACAGGGATTAGTGCAGTAAGGCTGTAGGAGAGAAGAAGAGATTTTTCCCAATGCAGAAAGAGCTGCTAAATGTTACATGTCAGGAAACCAAGCTTGAAATCGCTCCTGAAGAATCAGCAAACACACAAAAATGTTTAAGGTGTATGATTGCCAAGTGTATTTACATGAGTAAAGCATCTCTTCCCCTAAAATTGTAAGCAGTTCATTATACTTTAAAAAACCAGATTTTTCAATATTTCCTCATATTCAAACCTACTAAGATGTTACCTTTTCCCCAAGAAAGAGAGACAAGAAGTACAAGAGGGAGTAGAGACAGAGTTACCTGGTCACCAGAAAACTAGTGCTAATAACTATATCATCCTAAGAAATCTTTCCCACTCCTATAATTACGCTGGTAATGGCCCTACTCCCCTCCACATGCAATTTTTTGAAATAGGTGTTACACTAAAATACTGCTAGGAGGCACTCTGATGCAGTTTTTAAATCACATTTTCTTTTTTTCTTCAGTGTTTAAATCACATTTTCTTCAGCTAGAAGGAAAATTAGTCACTCACATTATTGTTTTGGTTTTCAAAAAACAGAAAATTGCATTTTTGTTAGAGGGACAGTGAGGTACCTGAGACCATTTTCTGTTGTCCTTCTCACTTGTTACTTGGGAGAAAAGCCTGACTCAAACCTGGCTTTCAGGGACTTTCAGTACATTTCAGGTGTTAGGAAGTGAGTCCCTCAACCTCCTGTTCTCCAGTCTGAACTCCCCCTGCTGCATCAGCCATTCCTCCCACACTTGTGCTTCAGACCCTTCCCCAGCTCCATTTCCTTCTCTGGACACACTCTAGCCCCCCCAGTGTCCTTCCTGCTGTGAGGAAACAAAGCTGAACACAAGATTCCAGCTGTGGCCTCACCAGTGCCCCCAGCACAGGGGGATGGCCACTGCCCTGCTCCTGCTGGCCACTGCCCGGCTCCTGCTGGCCACACTATTGCTGACACAAGCACACATCTGGAATGTCATCCTCCTTGCTTCTGCAGCATCTCTTTTTGAGTCCAAGTATGCACGCAGGACGGGCTCCTTCAACAGTCCTTCTTGGCATCTTTGGCCTCCCTTAACATTAGCCAAGACTCCCACCCCTGATCCCCATGAGCGTAGGATCTGCCTACCTTGAGCTTGCCTTGTGGCTGTGACTGTGGGAAAGATGGGGAAGTGGATCCAGCAGAGCCAGTATATGTGGAAAGCTATGTTTCTTCAAGCTGCACAATGGGGAACAGGCTGGAGGACTTCTGGGAGGTAAGTAGTGTTTCTTACACAGTGCTCCCCCTCTTCTTAAGCTTTATAACATATTGAAAAACTGGCTGCACAACAATATCCTCAAGAGAACTTTGAAATCCTGTTCTCTGCAGCAGGGGATCAAGTCCATTCTAGCCCCAGAAAATCAAGGTGATCTCCTGGAAGCCCCCAGGTCAGATTTCTGAAAGGTGCAAGAAGAACATTTCAATATCTTACATAAATTAACATCAACATTCACTGACAGCTAGGACAAACCAGCCATAAAACTGCAGGACATTAAGGAAAGAGAAGGGTGGCTACTGATGTGGTCTAATTCTTGGAAGCCCTGAGAAGTGACATGAATGCCTTCATTCTCTCCCCAGAAGTTGGGTAAAACACATTCATGTTTTTAGAGAAGTCTTTCTAGAGCTGTATGTTTTGATTGCTTTCTGTTTCTTTAGTATATTTGCTTGAGAGGCATTGTTTCAACAGTGTTTCAAGTGCATTGCCATATATCAGGGTTCTTAGCTCTGGATCCATTTCTAATCAGGTCCTGGCCCCAAAAATCAGATTCTCATATTTTTCTCTGTACTCAATAGGCTGTGCTTTCTTGTGTGACTATTTTGAGATATTACAGAGAACAAAGAAAAGGAATAGACCTCACACACCATATTAAGCACTTGGGATATTTTGTTTTATGAACTGATGGGTGTAACCAGATAACTGGAATGAAAACAGCTGCTTGCCAGGGCTGTGGTTAAGCCAAGTCTGACATTGTGTATTTTATGGGGCTGGAGAACACAACCCTAAGAACTACCAGGTGAGCAATAAGAACACACAGTTTGATAAGCTGTTTTTAATATATAGCATCTTGTTTCTCTGGCTGTTGTCAGAGGATTACTGTTCTGATGTCATATGGTCATGTGACTTAGCATAATATGACAGATCAATCAATCCTTTCCATCAGATGGAGAAATGAGTGTTAATTAAGTTTTCTATTTACACGCCTTTTCCTATAGACCCCAGACATGCTCTGGTACTGCATTTTTACCCATATATTTTGCACCAGCATGGTTGAGAGAATCTGAAATAAATTCAGAGAGTGGCCATCTGGAGAAACATGTACATGTTGATCTTTTTCAACAGAAGCATTCAGAGCATAAAACCTATTCAGATGTGATTTTTCTCTTGTCTTAGCTATATTTGCTAAATTGGGCTGTGCCTGAATTGTAACAGGATTTATCTGGATACTACAGTGGAAGTTTTAAAACCTTAGTTTTTGTCATCATAGTGGATCTGGTTCTCCTGCTTGGAGAAGAACACCCGCTGAAGCCAGGAGACCCATTCACATACGTGTTTTTACTGCTGCAATTAATTAATTGAAATTGGGGGATTTGAAATGTAGTCAAAGTGTTATGTAAATTTTTGTATTCTGCAGAGGCTTTATTAGCAGGTCTGTCATATTTTCTTTCTTCATAGTTTTAGCCATAGTCACTGTGCTTACATGTACAGCTTTAAACTGGAAGTGATGAAAGCACAGCATGAAATTATAAATATTGAGAACTGAGGAGAAGGTGTGTTTGTTAAAAGCATTTGAAGAACTTCAGATATGTTCATGGGGTTTACTAGTCGCCTTAAACTTACCACTAGGTCCTCAGCCATCAGCAGACTCTTGTCGTAGGATGGTAAATTCTTCTCAAAATGGCCTCTGCAGTGTCATGACGGTTATCTGCTTTAAGACCTGTGGACCTGACCAGGCTGCTTGATGAAGCAAGTAAGGTGACCTGCCCTATTACAAGCTGCAAAGCCATTGGTGTCTGGGATTCATCAGGAGCAGTCAATCAACATTAATGGATGTGCTTTAAAAGTAAATTAACAAGCACAAGGTTGTGGGCAGATTAGGGGCTCCTACATAGCGTGTACACCCCAGCAGGGGACAGAGACTGTAACAACCCAAATAAAGTGTCTGTGAATAAGGCTTCAACAGGCAGAAAGGCTGTTCTGGTCCTAGGGGAGGGAGGTCATGTGAAAAGGATGAGACCACCACCTTCCCTTGCTCAGCCAGCAGCTGATGACTAGAGGCCAGCATTGCAGCTGGATTCAGAGTTGGTATGTTGCTCTTGCTGGATAGATACATCTATCTTCTCTTGAGATATTAAAAAATTCATGCTCCAAGTGAAGCAGTGGTCTCTGAACTGCATGTGCATCTTCCTTTTCTTTAACTACTGGTTACTAGAATATTCTGTCTTTATTTAATGAAACTTTTCCACAAGGAGAGTGGTGCAGCCCTTGGACAAGTCAACATGCACAGATTGTGGAACTTCCATCATGGGACACTCTCCTGAGTTTTGAGGTCGGATTCTTTTGGAGTCCTGAATGTGACTAATTTAAATTTGAACTCACTTCAGTCAATCTGTTTTTTTCTCTAAAACTGTTACAAATAGACCAACAGGTAACTCCTTTAGTCATGCTTGTTGCTTGTGTTATTAAAACTGGCAGGTTTCCATTTTGTTTAATTTTATCTACTTGACATGTCAACAAGAGCAGAGGGTCACTGGTCTGCAGCCAATCCTGTCCCCAGGAGCAGTGTCTACAAATGTTTATAGTTCTTTGAGCTTCTTTTTGTTCTGAGGATTAAGCCTTTATTCTTCCATCCTTGTATTTGCAGCTTAGCTAAAGAGTCTAAGTAAAGAAAGACTTCTTCCACAACCAAGACAGGTGTATAGGAGAAGTTTTCTAGAAACTCGAACTCACTGGGGTTGCTTCTTTCATTGGCTCAAAAAGAAGCAGGCTTAGGAGTCCCAGCCATGCACTAAAGTTGGGAGGGATGAAGCCAGACCAGCAGATTTGTGAGTCTGGCTTTGCATGTGCTTGCACACATAGTTTTTTGTTAAGTGAAGCATAAATCTACTTGAGTATGTGCAGCATTTGAGTCTCTACTTACACCTACTTGGAGCTGAAATCCCTCAAAAGAAGAGAGTCATTGTGCTAATATTATACATCCTTTAGTGGAACAGGTAAGTTTAGTCTGATTTCACTTAAAGCAAAACCCTCCTCTTGTAAGCCGTATATATGAAAAAGCTGGTTGTTCTGATTTATGTGGAGTGGCTGCTAATCTCAAAAGGTAATATGATGTCTGAGTTTGGGAACAATGCTGTAATAATTTTGTGATGACTAACAGCTCATTGTGAAATTTTCCCAAGCTACCTTTGTTAAAACTAGTAGAGTCCCAAGAAATACACAGTTTTTTCTCAAGGTTTTAGAACGAGGTATTTGAACTGATTTGAGTCACCTTGGAGTTAAGCAAGAAACTTGGTGGCAAATATTTCTGTATCAATTTTCAGTTGTTCGTAGAGTTTGAGACATGTTCTGCATTTTCCCATTACACTTTGATTATAACTTGCAGAAGAACTCCTGTGTATTACCTGAGGATTTAAAGAACTTCTATCTGATGACTGATGGCTTCCAGATGACCTGGAGTGTGAAGACTGATGGTGAGTCCCTGTGTTCCCCTCCACTGACAAGCTCAATTCATTGCATTTAGTCCTTCCTTTACAGAATCTCTTTAATTGCAAACTTACTTTCTGCCCAATCAATACACATCTCTCAGGGCAAAATCTATTGCTTGCATGTTCTGTTATCCTACAGAAGAGGTGCAAACACTCTTTCTTTCTGGCAAGAAACTAATTATTCATTACATAAATTTTATTCTGTAATACACTGGCCATCTGTTGACACTAAGATTTAGGAGTGTCATTTAAACCTCATACCTAACTCCCTCTAGTTCATATAGAGAGAAACAGCTGTAGCTCATTATCCCATCATAAATCAGTAGGAACAGTCACTCTCTGATAATACTTCTTTCTCATTCAAATGTGTATGTACATGTTGGAGCCTGATTCTGCTTTCCACCAGCTAAAGTCCAAGCTTCATTTTCCATCCTTGTTCAGGAAAAATCAAGTAGTTTGTTCACTCTGCAGCTGTTATCCTGGCTCTCTTTGCTTTCAGGCAGGGTTCTCCAATTGCGCTGCAGACACTGCTCACTTCTAGTTCACATCAGTGCTTTAGCACCTGCATGATTCCCATCATGTCTCAAGTGGGACTTATGACCTCTGAGGAGTCTTGTTTTCAGGGCTCACAAGTGCACGGAGGCCAAGGCTGCTGGTACAGCTGTCTTATTTGAGCAAACATCCAGCAGTGTCTTCTGAGACCCGTCACACTGGCACATGGCTGAACAGGGTGCTTGCTGCCTTGATGTCTGGTAACAGTCTAAGTCCTCAGAAGGTCAAGTCCTGTAGGATTCTTTCAGGAGCACCCACATGTTGATGTTGATAAAATCCTCTGTGGAAGTTGAAACCAAGAGGATGTACCCTGAACAGGTACATGGAGTGGAAGAGGACACGCTGCCCAGTAAGCTGTGAATGTATGGGGTGGTTTCAGATAGGAAGGGCAGTAGCAGGGAAAAGAACTCTGAGGAAAAGGCTGTAGCGAAAATCCTGTAGCTAGGATTTTTAATTTTTCATAGGACTGAGCTAACAGCTGCAGCACAGTCCTTGCCAGCAGTGTAATTCCTTTACCTTTATAGCTCTGAGATGGTGTTGCATCACATGTAAGTGGGAGTCGGTGTTTGAAAAAGCCTCATTTTTGCTCTTGTAGAGCCTTAAGTTAAATGTCCAGATCTGCTGGGTATAACCATTCTTCACCCCACAGAGGTTGATGTCTGGAGGAAAATAAATGCCTCCCATGCTTTCCTGACACTGGATGTGATTAATGATTGGTTTTGTTGCAGATACCCCAATGCCCCTGGGCTCCATGGTGATTAACAGTGTCTCAAAGCTGTGTCGCCTTGGGGGTTCCTCTATGTACACTCTACCCAGTGCTCCAACTCTCGCTGACCTGGAAGATGACACAGATGAGGAAGGTAAGGCACTGTTAACAGGCTAGAAAACCTGCTCTGTTTCATCCCTTTTGTTCTAATTACATTAGAATATAGCACAAAATATGTGTACCAAAACACTTTCCACCAGGTTGCTCAGAGCTCCATCCAGCATAGCCTTAAACACGTCCAGGGCTGGGAGTATCCACAATTTCTCCAGGCAGCCTGTGCCATTGCCACATCACCCTCACAGTAAAGAATTTTTTCCTAATATCTAATGTAAATCTGCCTTCTATCAGTGTGAACCCACTCCCCTTTATCCTGTCCCTATATATCCTTGTAAAAAGTCTCTCTCCATCTTTCTTGTTGGCTCCTTTACAGGTACTGGAAGGCCACAATAAGGTCACCCTGAAGCCTTCTCTTTTCCAGGCTGAACAAACCCAATTCTCTTAGCACCTTAGCTATCCCTCACAGCAGGTAAATTGGAACAAGATGATCTTTAAAGTCCCTTCCATACAGCAACAGAAAAAATCGCTCCAGGTAGATGGGGATTACTTGGTCTAGCAACCTGGTCTGGAGAAGGGTGTCCCTGTCCATGTCAGGGCAGTTGGAGCAAGATGATCTTCAAGGTCCATTTCCAGCCCAAACCATTCTATGATTCAGTGACTCTCTGTCTCCTGGGCTAGATCTATTATATTTCTTATTAGTTCCCTACAGCCTTGGCTGTATGGTAGGTCTGTATGCTGTGAATGTAGTGCGGATTAGTGTTATTTGCATCCTCTTTTAACAGCCTATTCTGCCTTTTCCCTGTGCAAACTTTCACCTGAGCCTTGCCCCAGTGATTCAGCTTCCAAAATTTTTGTGTGCTTAAGGTGTTAAATGAACAAAAGATAACAGGTTTTGCTTTGGTAGTGAAGACAGCTGGAATTAGTATGTACATATAACTATGAGGCTACACTGCCTAAAAAATGCTGGGAATGCTGCTATTTGGGGAGAATAAAAAAGAAAAAGAAAGCCCACTCATTTTGTCAGAGCTCTCACATCCAGCTGGCAAAATCAAGAGGATAAGAACATAGCCAGGTGTCACACCAATTTCTTAAAAGAATACTATTTGGTTTCAATCTTGTCCATAAGATATTCTAGCTTCTAAGTGTGGCTGAAAGTAGTTTTGACATTCCAGTTTGGCTGCAGCCCTGATCTTCTAGAAATGCTCAATGATGGTTGAGGGTCTTGAGTAAGAGTCAGATGTGGCTGTTGAGAAGGATGCTGATGTCACACTGGAATGTATGTATAAATATTTATCTCTGCAATTTCACTGAAGTCTTGTTGCAAGAGAAAAACAATAAATTGTTCTCCCTGTCCTTAGAAAAAAATGATCAGGACAGAAAAAGGAATCATATATACAACAGAAATAATGGGCTTCAGTTGTAGCAGGGAAGAGTCAGGATCCATGAGGAAAACTTCTAAGTTATAAGTGATGGATTTGGGTTGAGTACCTAGAGATTGGGCCTGTGCCTTCTCTAATACTGGAGAACTTTAAGAAAAGATCAGACAAACCTCAGGGGTGACATCTGTAAACCTTGACTTGCTTAATGCCAGGGAGGAAATAGAAGTCAGCTTATCTATTTTCAGCCATCTGATTTTGACTCTCTGGTTTGTTTTCCTAACAGAGATGAATTTTTTTCTCACTTTTTTGTGTTTTTTTTGCTTGTTTTTATTTTAAACTTAGGGAACTTAATCATTTCCAAGACGTATAAATGTAATAGGTTGATTCAGCTCTTCATCAACTGATTTATTAATGTATAAAACAGATAGACTCTTTGCAACTAAGTCACAGTCAGTTTTCCAAACATGTTTCATAATCTTTTTCCTTGGTTTCAGGTAATGGAGACAAACCAGAGAAGCCACACTTTGATTCTCGTAGTCTTATCTTTGAATTAGACCCATGCAATGGGAATGGGAAAGTCTGTCTTGTTTATAAGCATGCTGAACCAGGTAAGACTGAAAAAAGAAAAGTTAGCCATCTCTTGTTGTGGATTCTATCTGGAGGCCACATGTGGAAAGTTATCTTGTATTTTTGATCTTCTTTGCAATTTTTAAGTGAAACTTTTACTGGGATGTCCTGTCTCCACTGAAGTTAGGAGCTAAATCTTAACTAGATCTAACATTTTCACTCCTTTTAGTGTTGGAGTCTGAGTTATAACTTATGATTTCTGTGTGCATAGAAACAGGGAAGTATTCACATGTGACCTACAGACAATTGAGTTGAAATAATAGAGAGCTCCACTAATCTGGTTACTTGCATGTCTTGGAACAAAGCTGTTACATTTTGATGAGAAAGGGTATAACTCTGCTTAGAAACAAAGTGTAGATAGTAAAAAAAGCTGAGACAGAATTAGACTGGGTCTTCCACCTTGTGTACAGATGCAGGGTCTCCAGGTGCTAACTAGGCCAAAATGTGGGAGGAAGGGTTAATGGGAGGGTGAGAAATGGGAGCTGAGATGTTCTTTTTGACAGAGATAACTTTTATCAGTGAAAGAATAGTGAAACACCCAAGGCACTTCTAAAATAGTTGTCATCTGACACAGTGCACAGATGTATGTGTGTTTACTGTGTAGGGTTGTACAATTGCAATATATAGCTTCTTAAGAAAAATCTTGGGTTGTTATTTTGTGCATTTCACCGTGTGTGACTACAACTGCCATGGCAGGAAGTCCTTGGCCTCTTGCCTCCCCATATAAGTGATTTCAGCACATGCATTGGATAACCTGGGCAAGGGAAGGGAGCATTGGTTACAGGTGTTAATGTCAACAATGTCTGTTTAAATGACAGTGCTCAGCATCTCAATCTCACAAGAAAAAAAAAACCCTTCTTTTTATATTACAAAGAATGTCACCACCAGAAAAATATTAGATCACTTGGAAAGATTTTGCAAAATATGTTTTTGTTGGCAGAACATACTACCATGACTTCCTGGCTCTGGACTATTCAGTAATCCAGATCACTGACAATTGAGTTAGTTGCTTTTTACTTTGTGGGGCAGATAAATGTTTGCCATAATTGTACTTTGAACATATACTACAAAGTTGCTAATGTCTAAGAATGTTCCGTGTAGCATGTCACTCCCAGATTGTGAAAGAACAGCATAGCATTCATTGTCCAGCACACAGCTAGTCAAATACACCATGCAGTGGGTGAACACTGGATGATGGGTAGGACACAAAATTTTATAGTAAATAGGGCTAAATAGTAAATAGTTATCACATCAGGCTGACAGCTGGTCACTGGGTGAGTTCTGGAGGGCTCCATCTTAGGCCCAGTGCTTTTCAGTGTCTTCATGAACAGCTTGGACGCAGGACTGGAAGGGGTACTAAGTTTGTCCATTATACTAAAGTGGGAGGAGTTGATGTATCCCTTGAAGACCCTGCAAAGTGACCTCAACAAATTAGAAGAGATGTGCAATCACCAACCATATGAAGTTTAACAAAGACAAGTTCTGGATCCTGCACCTGGGCTGGAACAACCCTGTAGATACATAAAACAGCCCATCTGATGAGTGTGTTGTGTCCTCCCACCTTACAATGGCTAGGGGTTAAGCTTAATATTGCAAAGCAACAGTGTATTTGTGCTTGTTTTATTCTAGTGGTCTCTCCAGACACAGAGATCTGGTTCCTGGACAGAGCTCTGTATTGGCATTTCCTCACCAAAACCTTCACAGCCTACTACCGCCTGCTCATCACCCACCTGGGTCTCCCACAGTGGCAGTACGCCTTCACCAGCTATGGAGTCAGCCCCCAGGCCAAGGTAGGACAGCAGAGTCCAGCCTGTCAGTATTTTGCATAAGTATAGACTGGGAAAACATTTTCCTACCTTTTGGCAAGCTGTGTGTCTTTTCAGGGGGGCCTCCCAGGTGAGCCATGGAAGGGACCACAAGTTTTTTCCCTGTAACATGTTAGCAGTCATTTGTTTCACAGTACTTTGAATTTAATAATATTGTGTTAGCCCTGCTTTTCTCTCAGCAGTTGCACCTTCATCAAAATTATGCCCAAAAAAAGGGCAATTTAAAGTCCTAGAGGTAGTTAAAGAAAACATCTACATAAAGCTTGGTGAGGATTCCAGATGCTTACTATTGTCATTAAAATTACTATTCTGCCATGCCAAAATCCTGCTATTAGAGGCTTCTGCTCTTCTTCTGTGTTTGACTGGGCCTTCAGCCCTATCCCTGCCTCCATGCTGTGAGAGATGAGGGAATGGAGCTGATGATCTTACTGAACTTACAGTAGCTCATAAGCCAGCACAGTGTCAGTGCACCTTGGCAAGGTCTGTTGAGACTTGAGTGTCCTGCACTTCACCCAGACACAAGACCTGTCTTATCAGCGTGAGATTCCCTGGTCCTGTGTGCACATCAGAATTACTAAAATCACTCCTGATTTCCCATCAAATAGTGGCTGTAGAATTTGGTTCTTCTCATTCCTGATGCCTTCCCTGTTACACTGCACTGGACTTTATCAGTCAAAGCTGTGTATGTGGCACGGTGCTCTGCCTTTCTGTAACTTTCCTGCTATAAATACTTTATTATATTCAGTATATTTTCAAACCTTAAGAGGAATCATTCATATATTCCCTAATCATTTGCAAACCCTGTTGGTTAAAATCCTTCTAGTTTGTTAACCATTATAATTTTTAAAAGTTTTCAAGGGGATATATTAAAGCTGTTTTCCACTAAGCAGTACATTAATAGATGATTATCTATATTTTGGTATTGAACTTCTCTGTGTCCTGCTCAACACTTTGCTGACTGTTTCACTGTGATTTGAAATACCATAACTACAATATTTTTTGTTAATGGAAAAATAGGCTTTGTTGATAGAAAAATAGAAAATCAGAAATAGAAACAATAAGACAAACAAACACAAAATTCTTTATGTAAGATATTAAAAAAATTCATTATTTTATGTGTAAAGAGAGGGAAGGTTACATTTTGAGAAATTCAACCAGTTGGTTTTCAGTTTATAAGCACATTTAAATTCCAAAGGCTTTCTTAATCCTTTCTGTTTATCTGAATCAAAATAAATGTCACTTAGTTTCATCCCCTCCTTTTGCTTTTCCTCCTGTGGTGTAAATCAGGATTTGCTCTTGGTAGGAGTCACACTGCAGGAAAGCTAGTGTTAGGATTGTGTCTGGTTCTCCTCTTCCGTATCTCGAATGCAGTTCCAGGACTGGGGCTGTAGCCATGCCTTGTGTATTCTTATCACAAGCACTCTTCCAAGTCCTGCAAACTGCAGCTGATAAGTGGCATAGGATTAAGCTCAAATCTTGGGGAAGATGGGGAGCAAGGAGGAATTGTCTAACTGCAGTTCGAATTTAACCTGTTCCTTCCCTACTATCCTGCCTTTCAGCAATGGTTTAACATGTATAAACCCATAACCATCAACACAGCACTACTGTCTGAAGAAGCTGATTCCTTTGTGAACAAGCTGGACCCCAATAAGGTATTTAAAAGCAAGAACAAAACTCCAGTGCTCAAGAAGAAACAAGCTTCACAGCCACCAGGCTCCCAAAAGAGTCACACAAGCATGACCTCTGCCAAGACATCCTCACTAGCTGGGAATTCTTCAAGGAAGTGAGCCTGCCAGACAAGATTTGCAATAAGCTTTGATGTTTTTTGCTGCAGAGTCTCTGTCGTTCAGAGCAAGTTCCTTGTGCATGAATAGATGTGCCCATGGAAAACACATTGCAGCATTTGCGTGAAATATAGCCATGATGTGGATGTAGTTCCTGAAGGCTCTTTAAAAAAAATTGATACATCAATTTTATTCCCTTCTGCTACTTGCAGCATATACTTTTCAGAGACATAAAGAAACCTTTGATGTCACTGCTCCATAGGGAAGCTTTTGTTCCTGTACCACTGCAGCAGTGAAATGAAAGTAAATGTAATTTACTGTAACTTTAACAGGACAATGCTGAAATAGAGGGTGTGAAGATGTTTCTACCATGTCTTTTGAAAGAAAACTGTCCTGACCTTGCATGCTGTGGGAGCAGGCTGGAGCCCACTGAACACAGAAGTATCTTTCACTCCAGATAGAATCAAACTCTGCACTTCCCTGTGCTTTATCCAACTTCTGCTCTGAGATTCATGGTACAATGGGATTTGTGACTTCCATGTCTCTGCATTAGCCTAGCCACTAGTTCTGCAGCCTGGACCACTTTTTGGCCTTTGTGCTATATCTTTTCAGATGGTGACATGATTTGCAATAATCCTGAAGCCAGAAGCTGCAAGATCCTTTGTTGCTTTCCTTTGTGGGAACTGCTGAGCAGAGAGTCAGTGGTTGAGTCCCATCAGCCAGGAGGACCCCTTGGTTTGTTACACATTCATTTGCAAAGTTGACCATTGAAATAGATACTTTTTGTTGGGCAGGATCTCACCAGGGGCCACTGAGCTCCTACAGCCTTAGAAGGCCCTGATGCTCTTTTCTATACTGTAAGTTTTCAGGTTAGAACTGCACTTTAACCAATTCACTGCTGGTTTTCAGTTACTCCTGTTTATTTCCATTACTTTTCTATGCTATTCTGTGTGGGATTCGGATTCAGTCAAAGAAAGAAACAGAGAGTTTCTAGCCAGGCAGACGCCTGGGAAAGAGCTGGATAAGAATGTAAATAATTCTTTGTATCTCTTGTTTTTCACATTGTTTACAGTTAAGTTCTATCACTGTGCGTCAAGCACTCTGCACCAATGCTTTGGATGGTTTTCACTTCAGAACCAATGGAGTTGGTCCTCATGAAGCTCTGTATAAAAGAGCAGTGTATTTTGAATAAATCGGAGTTTTACTATTACAGCCTTCTGAGTCAGAGTCTCTTCATTCCCGTCCTGCCTCAACAGTGACAATTCTGTCTTCCAAATACACTGGAATCATGGTAGCACCCAACACATTTTGTGCCTGAATATGGAAATCAAAATCACTGTCTTCAAGCAAGCATTGATTATTTAAACAGCATCATCTCTAATTTTTGAAAAACCACCACATAATTACACACGACAAGCCTACCTCACAGGGATGTTGTGAGGCTTTCATGAGTATTTGTATGGCCTTCAGAAAGATGAAGCCATTCTGTAAGTGCTTAATAGTATTTTAATAAATATTTGAATATTTTCTTCCAAAGTGATTGAGTATTTGAAGATGCTTTGGAGAGCACATGGACATGAGATGCAAAGGATGTATGGAAAGAGCAGTGTTCAGGATGGATTGTTTGGGGTGATTTTTAATGCAGTAGAGAATCTCTCTATGAGAAGGCATACGTTACAGTGCTTTTAGCTTATCCCTCTTTTTAGCTACTCAGAATTTCCCAGTTTATTTCACACAGGCCAGAAGACTGAACTTTGTGGCAGCTGTTCTACTTCTGGCCTGCATTCACTGTACAAAATCTTTGCAGGCATCATCCACTGTTCAGGTGTATTTTGCTGCTTCCAGCACTGCCAAGGGCCCACCTTCAAAGGCTGCATTGCCTAGCAGCCACTCTCTGCCACCCCCAGATGACAAGAAATCCTCTAATGCACCTTCTCAAGCCCATGGGTATCTTGAGACAGGTGAAGATTTGTTCTAGCTGCTCTACTGACATAAAGTGAGCTCTAATGAGAAAGCACACATCAGTACTTGCTACCCAGCCCCATCCCGTGCCATAGCAATACCTCAGCTGTGCTTTTAATATTGGGATGGAATGACTATTAAAGCCAGTAAATGCCCCCTTCTGGAATTCTGTGCAATAGTGATGTTTTGTCACTTCCTGCTGTTGGAGAACTCTGTGTTGTTTGTCCATGGCACCCAGCCCTGGGACTGCAGTTATGTGCTTGACATACCACACTTGTTTAAGCACTTTTTAGAAAAGTTAGGACTGTTGTCACCCTCCTGGGAACAGGAAGCTTCTGATAGTGTTCTGCCTCTAATCCAGTTACACCTTCAACTTGCAAGACTTGTTGCAGGCCCACTTCCTCATTCAGACAGAGATAGCAGAATTCCTGCAGCAGCGAGGCAACATCTTACATTTCTCATGCATTCAGAGTAGGAAGAAAGTTTGTGGGGGGCAGTTTGTTCAAGTTTTTGGAGACACTGTCACAAAAGTTCTCTGACTTCTTTTCTGTGGTGGTAGTTGGTGTAGCTCAAGTCTAGAGTGTCAGTACACACATGGTTCTTTGCTGCCAGTGTGTTCCAGCAGAACTGTGGCAGGATTCAGGAGATCCTGTAGTTTAGTTTAGTAATTTTTATTGCTTCCTGAATGTTCAGATTAAAAAACAAAAACAAACAAACAAACAAACAAAAAAACCATAAAAGAAACCCAAACAACCCAATGGGTTTATGTTTCTATTTTAGACTATTGTTGTTCTTCTCTCTTCTGTGCTGTTCCAAACTAGGTATGCAGATATGCAAATGAAGCAAGCCTAGGCCCCTGGTCCATCACTATAGTGTCTGTCTCTTACCAAATAATATTCAGATCAAAATTTTTGTGTTAATTGACTTAATCATGTTGTATCTGCCACTGTTGATGCCTGTATTTTGATTTATATGAATATATACGTATCTGGAGACTTGTAGCTCTGCTTTGCTTTTCTTCAGAATATAATAATTATTTGAGGATTGAGTTTTGTTTTGAGGTTGTTTTTTTATTGTTGTTTTTTGGTTTTTAGGTAGGTTTTTTTTGTAAATTTTTACACAGTGAGATTGAAGAATTCCTTCAGGTCACAGCCAGTTCTAGCCCTACATGGGTCTTCTCAATATCTCAGATACCAAGTTTATCTGTTTAAGCAGAGTAGGTTTACTGAAATCTAGTCCCTCATCTGTCCACCTGCATGGTGCACAAACAGATGTCCCCTTTACATGTGTTGTCACAGCACATGGCCATCACAGTCTGGAAGTCTCCATGCCTGCCTGTTCTTTCTCATGTTCAGTTTCATGGCTAGGTTGGTTGTGAAAGTCAATGCAGAGTTTGTAGAGGAAAACACCAAAAAGACTTCCCAGAACTGGAGCTGTGACTGGGACCCACCACCAGGAATGGTCACCCCTAAAATGAAACACAGAAGAGGCAGCTGGTGAGCCAGACTGGAACCACTGCCCTGCCACCATATCCTACTGGGGCAGGAGGGAACTGTGTGAGCAGAGGAGTCTGTCCAATTTCAGGCATTAAGCCTACAATTGACTTAGACAAATTCAATGTTCCTCCCACATAACTGCTGGAGGGAAGGTAATTTTCCCCATCAGCATGGAAAGGGCTCCACACTGCAGGTTTCTTGTTCTCCAAAATATATGGGCTGTGTGGTCTTGATGAGTGGGACTCTCAGACATAGGCATTTTGCTTCCCCATTTCCAAGAAAATCTGTGACTCATCTACCAAGCTCTCAAATATATTTTCTGTGAATTTAAGAAAAATGGGCATCTGGAACAGGAGACTCTGGTAATGATCTCACCATAGAAAAAGCCATAACGTGACACCATCTTACTAGATAGAAGGCAAGGTTTCATATCCAAATTCAGACTTTAAGTTTAGGCGACTTTTCAGCAGTCTACCTGCATTCAGGTGAGCTGAATTCTGGCTCTCTGCTCACTGCAAAAACCAAATGGATCTCCAGTGAACAGGCAGACAGTTTGGTGCCCAAACTGACATATCTGTGTGTCAAGGTGAATCCCATGCTGGAGAATAAGTGTACTCCAAGTTTTGTGCACATGATGCACAAGGCTCCTGTAAGAACAACCCTCACTGTCTGCAGTGATATGATCACTTGGTCCAAAGAAAAAAGGTTTCATGGCGCATTTTATCTTGTGCTTATCCCCTCAAGGCCCTGGCAAGCTGAGCAGGGTAAGGGCAAAACAGGTCACTCACGTGAAGACAGCCATTCCCCAGCCAGCAAGTGCCATGAAGATCCGGGGGGGCAGGTCCCTGGAGGGGTTTATGGCATAGCCTGTGTTTAGCCCCATTCCCAGACCAATGCCCAGGACCAGCAAACCCGTGAGCACAGGCTGAGCTCCTTTGATTGCTGCATTGTTTTTCTCATCATGGATGACTAGAATACCCAGGATCAGCATAACTGTTGCTGTAAACTGTGGGAACAGAAAAGGGAGAAGAGCAGGTCAGGAGAGAGAATAGGGAAGACTGAAAGACCCTGCTCAGCGGAGCAGGAGAGACTTCCCAGAATGAAAGAGCAGATGAGATTCATGGTCTGATCAAAGCTCAAATATTTCTCCCTCCTCACAGGTGGACTGACGAAAATTCTCTCTTTCTCCATCTTTCAAGTCAGGGAAATGGGTTATTTTAAGTACATTCTGTATAATAAGAGCAGAGCCATAACTGTTCACAAGACAAACTTGATCACCCCTAGAGGAAGTGATGTTTTGTACAGCCTGTATGCAGATATCAGATTTTTACCTGGGAAATTGAATTTCCCATCAGTGACTACATAGCTGGCATTTGTAGATTTGCAGTGCCCAGGACATCAAGAAAGCATAGTTTTGGTAGAGGTGATGACAGCTGTCTCTTTCTGCTTCAGAAAATGCAGCTGGAGAGACTTAGACTGCTTGCACAGACACCAGCAAAACCAGAAACTGCAGCTTTTGACAAGGCATTGTCACTCTTATTTGCTTTCTTGTGCATCAAGGACACTGGTCCACAGAAGGCTGAGGGGATTCCACCCCCCCACCTCTAGGCTTTTCCACCCTCCTCTTCATCATGCCCAGGCAGGAGTTTTATCAGCTCAGAGTCCAAATCACAGGCTTCCAAAGATTTTCATTGAAGTGAATCTTCCTTCTCTGGTGTCTCAGTGACCCACATCCCGTGAAGAATCCCTTTCCTATTTCTGGGCATCTAGACACTGGTACTGTAAGCTGGGAATCCACTGCCCAGAGTTTCAATGGATCTGTTCCAACACAGAGTTCAGCCCAGGCTGTGCTCATGTGGAGACAGTCCCAGCCTCTCTGTGCTGGGGAGGGGCAGCCAGCATAGCTGCCAATGAGCATGGAGAGGGTGTAGAATCCATTAAGGGAAGGAACAGTTCAGCCCAGAACCCAGAGGAGATAGCTATTGATATAACTCAGCTTCTCACTCCTCACTGCTTACATGGCATACAGGGAAGGTATCTGGAGAGCCCCTGGACCAAGCTAGAGCAGCCTACATGTATTAGGCTCTGGGCAGAACCCTTTAGGCTTGTCCAGCCATCAAGATGTTACCTTTCAGATGCCTGCCTGAATGCTGAGCTCCTTGGGAAAAGAGGTTGTGGTTGTGTCTGTGCAGGTGGGGCTGTGGGGACCTGTAGCAGCCCTGCAGCAACACCTGTAACCACCCGCCTTCTCTTGGCACATCAGAGCCATTCCCACTGACCTCTGTAAAGAAGGCTCCCTGCAAGGACACATTGGGAGCAGGATACGTAGAGAAGATCATTGCTGTGGCATTTGGTCCTGACACTGTAAGGTTCCCATTGCTGTAGGCATAGATAGCATCTAGGAGAAGTAGGAGTTAAGGAAGTTAGCACGGCATTCATCCCACAGGGCACACACACACAGGTCCACCCATTGCAGCCAGCACAGACTTCAGGGAGAAGGGAGGCAGGGGAAGATGTGATGGAGGTGACACACTCCTCGCAGACCATGATCTCATCAATATCTGTTACCCACAGACTTTGGTCTGCAGTCACTTCCTTACACCTACCAGCTCCCTATCCCTGCTCCAGAAGCCTGGGTGGTCTGGATGCACTGGAGGCCTCCAACCCTCTGCCCCTCAGAGACATGCTAGAGGTAATGGGTGGTGGGTCCTCTGCTCACAGCTCCAAGCCCCACATGGCTGCAAACCTGTGTTCCACAGAGCAGCAGACTCCTCCCCACACTCCAGCAGCACATAATACATAGTAGTTCACGTAAATAAAGCCCCTGCAGACCTGGAAACAAAATGCTGACAAAATGCAGCTACTGCCCTTCTGCTGAAGACAGGTCTTGGAAGTGGGAATGCCCTGAGTAAAAGGAGCTGTGTTCTCCAGGATGTGTGTATCCTTCCCAGAGGTATATCTGGGACCTTCTCTGAGCTTGAGCTGCGGTCTGTCCCACAAGCCAGGAGCTTGCCCTCCTCACCCAGAAATCATGCTGTGTACTGCAAAATTACATACTTTGACAATACTGTGGGTTGACTGAAATTATACCTACAGCAACGTCTGTGATAAAAGACACAACCCTACCATAGTAGAGAGCAAAGACAGTGGCTGCTGCCAAAAAGGAGCCCAGGAACTGGCCGATTATATAAGCTATAGCCGTTGTCCAGGAGATGTTTCCTAAAACACATTGTGTAATGGTGATGGCAGCATTCAGATGAGCTCCTGCAAAATCACAGAAAAAAGAGGCCTCAACACCGATATAGCTGTTTCGGAGCATGTGACATGTTGGATGCCCCATCCCTAGAAACATTCAAGGCCAGGTTGGACAGGGCTCTGAGTAACCTGCTCTAGTTGATGTTTCTGCTCATTGCAGGGTAGTTGGACTGAATGAGCTTAAAAAGTTCATCTTTGGTTCTAGGCCCCATGACCTAGAGTAATCACCCACAGAGACCCAGAACAACAAGAATCTCTCCATTCAGAGTTTTACTCCTGCACAGACACAAAATGATCCTTCCTTTCTCTACAGCTGAATCATGCTGGTAAACGTGCTCCTAGCTTGTCTTCTGAGAATTCTGTAGATAGGCTGCACCCAGAGACTGGGTCATCTCACCTCTCTTGGGATGGCATGAGTTTCTCTATGAGTTTCTCCAAGAGCTTCCCCCTACTGAGCTTACAAAGAGACCATACTTCAGCAAATTTTAAGTAGCTACTGGTAGATAAGGACCTGTGTTTTGATGGAACACTTTCTGTGGAGGAGGTTGGAATCACAATGGTGTTTTTGAAGACTAAGTGGGTCTGGGTCTCATGCCCTTGATACAATATGTGTTCTCCAGGCCTCCTGTGCCCAGGATTCTAAAGAAGATATTTATTTTTCCTGCCTGATAGGTATAAACTTTGAGGGTCAGTAAATGTTCCAGCCTTCACGACCATCTTCTACTCCAGAATCCAAAAGGGGTAAGATACAGACACCCATCATTTCATCAAAATGCAGGACAGATTGAAGTGGAAGTGCATGTACCACCTGCTACAGTCCAACAGTCACAACTGGAATGGGGGCAGATGCCTTCTTAGACCCTCTGCTCTTATGTGGGTATGGCCAGCCATTTCAGAGACCACGAAAAGCATCTTGTGACACAGATGAAGCCAAATTACTATGTCAGGAAGGTGTGAAATTTTTTTTGTAACCATATTATTGCTGGCTGAGCTGAGATCCCTTCTGCACTGCCCTCTGCCCTTAACAGATCAGCTCCTTCTCAGAAGTCACTTGAGACTGTAGGACCTACTTTCCTCAGTCTGCTTTCCCCAGGGTGTTTCCACCAGCTCCAAAAAGACAAGAAAATCAAGAGCTGACTGCTCACATGGAAAATTCTTCATTTCCAGGTCACCCCCAGGTTTGGACCTCTGTCTACTCCAACAGTTTAAGAGCAAGGAGTTGCTTTCATTTTCTACCCATTAGGGCCCTTAATGTTTTCTCTCAGTACAAATGAATGCAGAAATTGCAGAAGGCAAAGGTAATGCTCTTGTCATGTGAGGGGTGCCACCTCACGGCCCCGAAACACCACTTCCTAAGTTTATGTGGGGTATTCTGTGCATAAGATAAGGAAAAAAATTGCATGCCATTCCTTTTACAACATCAGCAGTAAGCTCTCCCTTGCAATAAATTATTTACTTCCCCATGGGTCGTATCAGCAGCAGGTTTTGGAAGCTCCCTGTCTCCTTGGGCCATGTTGGCATGTCCCAAATGGGGGAGCTGCTGAAACCTGGCTCTGCTGGCCACAACATACGGGGCTGGCCAAACCTTCTCCCCTCTCCCTGTCCCACCTGCCCTGTCACAGCTCAGACCACAAGTTTGGGGTCAATATTCTGTATGCATGCTGTTCATGCCTTGTCCCTGGCCTCTCCTGCTTTTCTTCCCTGGACTCTAGGAGTGCTATTTTAGGTGAGGGCACTGTCCATGCCATAACGCACCCCTCCACACCCCACTCCTCCTGTCCCCAGTGCACATGGCCTTTATGGGACATGGATATTCCCATGCCTGACAGTGCTTCTCACCAGATATTCCTCCAGCAGCATATATGCCCAAGGTAACGCCAATGCCAAATGCGATATTGATGCTCAGATATTGGCCATTTTTTCCTTTTCCCAATACCACTTGTGCCACAGAGGACAAGCCAAAAACCTGTGTAAAAAGGAAGACAGAAAGGAGTGTTAAAAGTATTCTTGTTGCAGTGGTAGACCGAGCTTCTTTGCTATTTTTTCTGCAAAAGTAATGAGCTACCAAGGACAGGAAGTCTCTAAGGTGTCAGAGGACAAAGAACAGCCTTGCCCTGCAAAAACTGAAGTGATACCTGAGATTGGTGCCCACCAAAACAAACTAGGCACTCTCATTATGGTTGGTTATGGGGAGACAAACCCCAAACATTTGCACCAAGAGCTGGGGCTCAGTGGGGGTCATTCACTCAGCTACAGTGCAGATGTCTCTGCCTTAAACCAGGGACGTGAACTGGGGGAGCATCACCGTGGAGACAACTGCAAGGCGGATGGATGGAAGGAAAGTGCGCAAATTCTTACTGTCCTTTTCCTGGTGTGCAATTTATTGACTAAATATGTCATTTGGGCAGCACACAGCTATTTGCCGAACTCAAATCTAATTTTGGTAACTTTTGAGCAAAAGACAAGAAAGGAAAATCTGGTTTAACTTTTCCATTCAACAGATATATTTTGGAAATATCCAAAGTTTTAGTGGGTTTTTTAAGTCCTTTTTTAGACTAAAGGAGAACCAGAGGAAAAAAATAGAAGTAAACACTCTGCAGCAGGAAAACACATATTCAAGACATTGCTCCATCCTGAAAGAGATAATTCTATTTCAGGTTTTTGATGTGGTAAGAATGGAAAAATCAGTTCTTTGCATGCTCTTACACTGAAATCTAGAGAAGGACAAGGCATCTCTTGAGGTTTCTGCCTCACAAACCACTAAGGATTTGGAAAGTGTATCTTATTCCTTGGACTGCATTGATGTTTGTCCAAAGTGACGTGTCTTTCAAAGACAAGAAAGTCAATATGTTCTCCAGCACATAAACTTCTGCTTTGGCTTGTATTACTCAACTGTGATTTTTTTCATGGCTACTCTGCCTGCATCCAGATTTAAACCTGGGACAGTGCCCACAAGATAGGACACAGAATCTGTTTTTCAGCACAGAGCAAACTTCTGGGTTTTTCCTGTATCGTCACAGTCCCAAAACCCCATTTATTTAAATTTCTTCTTCCCTAGTCCTTGTGCTGCTTAGTCCTGCTGCCTGGTTCTTCTTACCAACACTTCCTGTCCATTAAACTAAGAGACCCTGGGATGAGTGTTATTGTCCAAATAACAGCCATTCAGGCATCCTAGGGGTGCTTCCAGAACACTGCCTCTTGCACTGAGGGCTGGGGTGCTGCTGAAGAGTTAGGTGCTCTATGTTTTTTTCTGATGCTGGATGCTCTTTGTCTTCAGCCCTTGATGGGGCTCATGTGCAGTGCGCTCCTTTTCTCTCTTCTCTCACATGGATCAGTGAAGGGGGAGCCAGTGTGAGCTGCAGGCTGCAAAATCTGCCTTAAACTGTCAAGAGTGAAGAGTTAATTCTCCACCTCATTCTTCTTCCTGGGGCAGGATGACCCTGAAGTTGTTCTTTATCACCTGGGAACTTCTACCACCAAATAACAGAGAATGGAAAAAGGAAAAGGGTTTGCTGAGCTGCTGCAGAGGAATTATAGATGTCTGTACTCTGACTTACTGTGGGTGCAAACCTACCTGGGAGTGAAATTCAAAGAGCTGGATGTGCAAAATTACATTATAAAAAGGAACCATGCTCTGTACAGGCAGTTGTTGCCCTTGGAAAAGAGCACCTTTCTTGGTACAGAAAGCTGTGTCAGAAGGTCCCTATGCTTACACAAATCTTACTTTCTTTCTCTTTGAATCTCCAAGTACAAGTTATTTGGGTTATGCCCAGCCTTTGCATGCCAGCCTCTGTCCAGTCTAAAGTGTCTCTTCCCAGCTAAGTCCAGGTGGGGCAAATTGGCACAGATGGATACTTGGCCTTTTCAGAGGGAGGATCTCATTCTGCTCTTTTGATCAAACACTCAAAATCTCTGGTCCCAGTGGGTAATTCACCCCCACCAGCCCCCACAGTGACTGCAAAACCTTCCTAAACCTCTACCCAAATATTTCTGAAGCAGCCCAGGAGCTCAAACCCGCTTAATTACTTCTTTGTGAAACAGATCCCTCAGGCAAGGAGGCAGTTTATGTATGATTTACATAAGCACTGTTCGATTGGTAGCAATAAAATCAAACGTAAAATCCTGGCATGCTTCACACATTGTAACTACAGCTCCTAGTGGTGGATTGTGGTTCTGGAGAATTTTTCTGGAAAGTTCATTACCCTGGCAACCCCGAGGGGGAGATGGATGAATGCTATTTTCATTTTGCAACAGCTGTCAGTGATAGGAAAGTCTGGGTTTGTTCTCCAGTCCAGTTCAGACACCCCTGCCCAGCTGCACCACACCTCTGGCACAACAGAAAGCTTCCATTCACTGTATGGGATCTTCTACGCTACTTTTTTTGTAGACACTACTTTTTTATTTCATTCCCAAGTTCTTTCTCAATTTTCTCCTAGAAGAGAACTGAAAGAGCAACATGTCCTGAAAGAGCAACATGTCCAGAAAGGGCAGTGGAGCTGAGGAAGGGTCCACAGGAGCACAGGTTTGATGAGGAGCAGCTGCAGGAGCTGGGGATGTTATGCCTGGACACAGGGAAGACCTGATCACCCTCTCCAGCCCCCTGACAGAAAGGTCTAGGCAGGAGGGCTGGTCTCTTCTCTCATGTGATAAGTGACCGGGCAAAAGGAAATGGCCTCAAATTGTGCCAGGGGAGGATTAAATTGGAAATTAGGAAAAATCTGTTCACCAACATGGTTGTCAATCATTGGAACAGGCTGCCCAGGGAAGTGGTGGGTTTACAGATATTAAATATATAATGCCTTGAAGGTATTTAAAAGACATGTAGATGTGGCACCTAGGGACATTGTTTAGTGGTGGCCTCCACAATACCAAGTTAATACCTGAACTCTTAAAGATCTTTCCCCACTTAAATTCAGTGATATTTTAATTCTATCCCAGCACCCACCTCCCTTTCCCTGAATTACTTCTTTGCTCCAGAAGGTTTTTGGCAGATGTTCTGCCTGCTAGGAAACTGCCACCCCACCAAAGCAGAGGGGTGAGCAGCAGCAATCAACCACTGGGCAACTCTGAGGATGTGGTAGGAAACCACTGACCTTGCAAATCGCTGCCTTAACTGGCTGCACACACACAGACACATACACATGCACATGCACAGAGTTCTCCTTACCATGACGATGAATGTTCCCAGTGCTTCTGCCAGCATCTGCCTTATAGCAGTGTTACGAATCCTGAACACCTTCTTAGTCTTCTCCAACATTGTCTTCCCCACCTCCTTAAAGCTGCCTGCACGCTCCTGTTGGGACAGCACACTTCACTGCACTGAGCCAGGTTACCCTTTGAAACTTGGCACCCTCTCTTCACCCCCAGACACCTTCTTTCCTTTGGTTAACCATGAACAAGCCAATAAAGCAGCAGCTAGCTTCAAAGTCTTTCCCCTTCTCCCTCCCCCAGATGCCATCCTATAAAAGCTTGGGGTAGGGATGCAGTATTTCTTTTATGAGGGCATTGGTAACACTGTGCCTCTGCCCAGAACAGCCTAACCCCCAGAATAGTGGAGCTGTCAAAAGCCTTGATGTGCTCCTGAAGCCTGTTTTTCTCCTTAACTTTTTCTACAGGAACTGAAGAGGAATTTTGGCTCTACTCTGCATTGTAACCCATTGACTGGTCATTCAGTACTCGTTTTTTTAAGCAGATTGGATTGAGACTGTTTGCCTATGCAAGATTTTGAATGTATCTTCTGCATCAAGGATGCTCTGCAAGGAGCTGGTGTGCTCTGCTGTCTGCAGCTGGGAAGAGCACAGTGCATTGTTTCAGGTGGAATATTTGCTCTTGGTGAATGCACATGTGCATTCTGCAGGTGCCACATACTCACGGAGAGTCTTGTCACCAGCCACCCTGTCTGTCCTCTCATACAGGGCAAGGAGAAACCAACCTCAGCAAAGAGATGTAGCCCAAGAGATCTTCAGTCTTACCTGGCTTCCAGAGCAGAACCATTGCTGTCCTGATTCCTCCTCCATCTCATCATTCCCTCTCCCTATCTCCCTGCTCACCAGGTGCTCTTACCTTTCCACAGTGAAAAGGTTTTAATACCTTTGATTAATCATGGAAAAACTTATATCCACTGAACACTCAAGACCTTTTTCCTCAAGTCTTTTCCAGTTATTTGCTGGTTTTCTTTGCCTTCCTCTCAACCTGCTCTTTTCCAATTATTTGCTGGTTTTCTTTGCCTTCCTCTCAACCTGCTGCAGCTTCTCAGTGTGGCTCTGGAGGGGACAGCTCTGCAGAGGTGTCAGCAGCTGCCCTGCTGGGGACATGGTGTTCTGCTCATGCTGCCCCTGGCCTTGCCTCCCTATCCTCTACTGCATGGCAAAAGTTCATGAGCTCTTCTTTCACCCACAGGGCACTCAGCATCTGTATGGAAGAACCTGGGAAGCTGATTTTCCTCTCTGCTCCATAGATCATTGTATGTTTTGTGGCAGGGAGAGTTTTATGTACTGGGGTAATCCCTCCTCCAGCAACAGATTAGCTATTGACCTCAGTGTACACCTGGCTAAATATGCAGTAAATTACTGGTCTGTCTCTGATACTGAGGATCATTTAATTATGATAGATGATAATCATGTTGCTTGCAAGGGTGTTTCTACAGCATATTTCTAGGTGGGAAGGTTTCTGTCCTGGGGGTCTGTGACCTATGCTGTAGCACAGAATAAACCTTTCCAGGTCACTCAATCTCTGCCAGGCAAATGTTTATTGGTGGAGCACAAACCATGGGTCCTGGAGCAGCAGGTTGGGGTGGTGACAAGACCCTCAAGTTTCTTCTGCTTATGGTGATTTCCAGCTGTCTTTACTTGTCACCTGAGATCCTTGTGTCTCCATGTGCTGGAGATCTCACAGCCTTTCTGTGATGGACAAGGTATCAGTGGGTCAGTAACACCCATAACTGGACCTACAACTATGTTTTTTTCTCCTAGATCTCAGGGAGCCTTCCAAGTTGATTCCTTCCATGTGGGCAAACAGTGAATGCTAGGCTGTACTGATAGGCTTTGTCTCCTGAATTCAGGCATCAGTTGCAGGCATCTCAATATTCTGAGTCAGGCTGAAAAACAGACAGGTGCTTTCTGGGAACGCTGAGTTTCTGTGGACTTGCAGTCTCCTTAAGGAAAAATGTAATCCCAGTTTGCAATAGAAATCGTTGGTTTGGTAATAATATTTGCATCATAATTCCCAATATTACCACCAAACACTGTAAAAGTCCAGCATGCTTCTAGGAGCTTGTCCTTTTATACAAGTCATTCCACAAGATGGCACTGAGACATTAATTTCTGTCCTAAAGATATTCAGAAGGGCTCCTGCGTTGCTTCCGAAAGTGTGAGAATCCTTTAATTTTGCAGTTCTGATGGTCATTTTTAGACATTAAAGTGACCTGCTAGTGTTCAAGGACTGTAAAAATAACAAAACCATCACCTTTCTAAAGCTCATGTAGGTCAGAACACCTCTGCTCTACAAGTACACAAACCCAAAGTGTGTGAGCCTGTGCCTGACTTTATAATAAAAGCAGAGAAAAATAGGCGGCTCCAAAGGGCAATTCTTTCTCACCTAAAATAAGCATCTGAGGCCTGACCTATGAGTCATGCTAGACACTAGCACTTTCCTTCAGTGTTTGCACACAGACATGGAGTGATTGGCTCCAACATGCACCCCCATGACCACCAGGTGGGCTGGACTGCCCATTCTCCCTGCATCCAGACATGATGATCTTGAGCAAGTGCAAGCCAAGTGAGTCAGCCAAGGGCTGGATTGCAAATATCTGCTGGTTTCCCAATAGCAACCTGCTCATACTTGCTCAGTTTCACTTACCCGCAGGGCTAACGAGGATCTCTGGGGTCACTAAATACTGTCCCCTACTGACACAGGCAGCCACACCATACCTGCTCTCTGGTGACCTGGCCACTCTGCATTTTAGTGGCAGATGATTGTTGTCCAACTCCTTCTGTTGTACCCTGTTACCAGAATTTGCTGCTCTGAAGGTTAGACACTTTCCTCTGATTTCTAGCCAAATTCTCAAAGCCATTTGTCCATGTGCAGCATTAGCCCATCAGAGTAACGAGTTAACTTATTTCTTGTGGGTGCTATCACTTAGTGATCCTGTAAGGTTTGTTAGAAGAGCATTGACTGCTCATGCTTAGCTCCATACCACCTCCTGATGTTTGCTTTGATATCCTCACAGGTTGAAACTTCACTCAACAGTGGTCTGACAATGATTTTGCAACGTTTTCCACTTCACATTAAGCAGCCTTAATTTAACATTTAGCAACTGCTAAACCAAACCCATTTTCCTCCCCAAGACAGGTGTGCTCTTAGTGCTACTAATAAAAGTCTCAGTTTAGAAAGGAAATTTTTAGCACAGTCAAGGTCCACTAACAGTTCTGGTGGTGATACTCATGGTCATGAAGAACCAGGAGAAAAATGCCCCTGGGTCCTGTAAGAACAGCCGTGGGAAGAATGAGTACCCAGGCACTCCGGGGCATTCGTCAAGGAATAACTTCTCTGACTCAATTTGACAGTGCACATGCTTCCTCTGCACCCAGGAGCTCATTTATCTTTTAATTGGGCTAATCAACTGGTGGAACATTGCCACTCTGTTCACTTCAGCTCTGCTGGTGGAGCATTTTTTCCCCAGAGGCCAAGAGGAGCATAAGCAGACAGCTGAGCAGAAGAGTTGCTCACCATGGACAAGAACAGCTTGTTCCTCAACCTGACCAAATGAACAGGGCACTAAAATATCTCCAGTGCCTTTCAGGAAGCAAGACCCAGTCAGAGAGATTGTAACAGCACTGGTATGACCTTTGCTGTCCAGGACAGACCCTGTTTGACATAACCTGGAGCACCTGCTCCATATGGTCTCATGTTCCACACTCAAGGTCTGTCTCCTTCTCTTCTCTATAGATGGCAGGCACCACTTAAGCAAGTCTCACACAATCCGTGTGTGTCTCAGCAGATGTCTTTGCTCTCTCTACCACCACCCCCCTCACCATTCCCAGGATATTGGCCTCCACAGCCTTTCAGCTCACCCATGGTCCCTTGTGCTGAAGCCAGCCAAAAGTTCATCACCTGTGCATGCTGCTCTCCCCTGAGATTAGGCCTGATCCAGTCATACTGGTCAGAAGAGGGAGGTGGATGGCTATATGGAAACACCTCGACGTTCATGGGTGGGGCCTGCCTTGGGCAGAGCACTGCCCTGCCCCAGGCTGCTACAGCCACAGGGCTGCTACAGCTGCAGGGCTACTCAGACAGCGGTAATCCATGAGATAATGCTGCCCCAGGAGCAGAATTACTTGGCTTTGTTTATCTTTAGGGGCACAGCAGGACTCTGTGTGATGGCGTTGCCAGGGGTGGCCCTGGCCTCGTTGCTGGGCAACAGAGTGGAACCCTCCTGGTCACCAGGAACCCGTACACCCCCTGCTGGGTCACACTTCTCCACACTCCTCCTGCCTTTGTCTGACTTATCAGACAGGATAAAGTCATTTTTAAATGGAGCAAAGCTTAATGGTTTTTGAGGTACCCACCAGCTTTTATCTGTGAAAAGCCCTGGAAAATCTCCCCCACCCACAAATACTTAACAGAGAGTGAAATGGAGGCACAGAAGTAGATCAGGTAATAGAATTCATAGAATGTCAAGGATAAAAAGGGACCTTAAAGAACAGCCAGTCCCAATCCACCCTTGCCATGGGACCTCTCCCACTAGACAAGGTTGCTCAGGGCCCTATCCAACCTGGCCTTTAATGCTGACAAGGATTGGGGCATCCACAGCTTCCCTGGGCATCTTCTTTCAGTATCTCACCATCTTCACAGTAAAGTATTTTTCCTAATATCTAGTTTACATTTCCCCTCTTTCAATTCATACCTATTATTCCCGGTCCTGTCGCTACAGCTTCTGACAAAAGGTCCCTCTCTGGCTGCCCTGTGGGCCCCTTCAGATACTGGAAAGTTCCTATGTGGTCTCCACACAATGTTCTCTTCCCCAGGATGAACAGCCACAACCTTTTCTTTGTAGGGATAGTGCTTCAGTCTTCTCATCAACTTAGTGGTCCCCTCTGGACTATCTCTAGCAGATCCATGTCTTATGTTTGGGACACCAGAACTGTAAGCAGCAGATGTCCCACAAGGTACCAAGGCATTTCTAAGAGGGTCATGCTGGCTCCTCACCTGCCATCATCCCTTATTTCCATGACAATCTTGTTCTCCTGACCTGCTCAGGGCTGTGTTCCCACTCTACCCCTCTGGGTGAGAGCATCTGCCTGCCTGTGCTGGGACTCTGCTGTGGGGCTGCACAGGTCTAGGCAGAGAGCAGTAGACTCTCTGGGTTCAAGTGCTCTCTCTGAACCTTGAGCCACCTGCTCTGGTCTGCTTTCAATCCCCAGATAAAGTGAGAGCTGAGGAGCTTCGGGCTCACAGGACATCATCACCCTGGAGAAAAGAGCAGCTAGTCATTCTCCTAGAGGAGCACAAACACACACATTCTGAAAGGAGAGAGTAAAGAGGAAAAGCTGTAGGCTGGGAGCAGAGTCACTGGGTCAGGTAAAAGAAGTTTTGAAGTTCCAGAGCATGGTGAAGGCAGCACACTGCTTTGAACATTTCCCTGCCTTTGACTGTACCAGACAGCACAGGGTGGCTGTGTCCCACTGGCCAGTTGGCAGTGAGTTGGCTCTAACAAACAATGTCACTGATGAAACCCCTTGCACTTCATCCCATATTGTCTTTTCTGCCTCATCCTTTCCCCAGGCACTCCAGTCTGGAGTGCAGGATGTTCTGCAAAACACACCAGCTCAGCATCTGCCCGAGCAGCACCAAAAAGCACAAACTTGTGCTGATATTCACAAAGAGCAAAACAACAGCAGGGCCTGCTGACAATCACACAGCCATGCCTGCTCCCTCTGCTGCTGAGCAAGCAGAGCAAGGCTGAGCCAGTAGTTCTTCACAGCCACCAGGTGCTTAAGAGTTACTACATCCATACATTCCACCCATAGAAGTTATGCCTGTAAGCCTTTCAAGAGATGATACTAAACCCAGGCAGACCATAGAATCACAGAATCATGGAACATTTTAGCTTGAAGGGGCCTTAAACACCACCTCATTCCAAATCCCTGACATAGGCAGGGACACCTTCCACTAGACCAGATTGCTCATCCAACCTGGCCTTGAACAATTCCACAGATGGAGCAGCCACAGCTTCTCTGGGCAACCTGTGCCAAGGCTTCATGACCCTCACAGAATTTATTCTTAATATCTAATCTAAACCTGCCCTCCTCCAGTTTAAAGCCATCCCCCTTGCCCTATCACTTCAGGCCCTCGTAAAAAGTCCATCTTTTCTGCAGTCTGTTATCCAGACATTTTGCGGGGTGAGGAACCATCTGGTGACACTAATCATTGCCCATATGTGTAATCAGCAAATTACCCAGCTATCTCCCCAGAACACACATGCCTGAGGGTGTCTGAAGACCATACAGCATCTGGCATGCCTCACATCAGTCCTAAGCAATGCCTGCCCCATGGGATTTGTCTCTCCACAGGGGAGGGAAAGGCCAGGACATAGACAGCTGGGTCAGCTTTCCCAGCGCCAGCCCACCTCAGCCCAGAGGGCTGCTACTGCTGGCGCGGACGTGAAGGCATCCAAAGGAAACCCCGATAAGCTCCCAGTATCTCAGCTATGGGAAGATGCCACACATTCCTTGCAGACAGGCCAACAAATCCCCTTAGACACTGCCCAGCTTCTCCTGGAGCTCCAAGGATCCCCACAGGCATTTCAGTGCAAGTAGAAGTTTCCTCTAGCATCACCTAGTCCCCATCACCCTCATGATCCCTCAGCCCCTTTTGCCTCTTATGCTGTTTTGAGACACAGGAAAGAGGGGCCAGGTGTGGATCTGGATTGCTTCCTGTCCATTCCCATTCTTTCAGTTTCTGCAGGTAAGACATTGACCCAGAGGAATGTGGAGAAGCTGAAAATCCATCTGTTGATGGGCCCTGAAAACAAGCCAGTTTTCCTAACTCATGTAGTTTCCCAGCACAAGTCCTGGATGACACAAGTGGCAGTTTCATGAATTGTCCCATAGTAAGCATAGCACTGACATGCAGTTTATTTCCCTAAGCACAGGACACCACATATCAGTCATCACTGACAGTGCAGATATCCTTAACCCATGGCAATTACTAAATTTTGTCACTGTCTTTTTTGTCCCTGTGTTTGTTTTTACACAGACAGTCAAATGTACACATACCTACTAGCCATTTCCTAGTGAAGAAGTAACTGTTACACACCACCTTCTGAATTTTGACTTCATAGGAACCTCATTATCAAATCAAATTATCAGTACATAATCTTATGAGAATGGCAGAGGATCTGTCCCTCATTTCTGACATGAATGAGTTACAGCTCTCAGGAACTGCCTGGGGTGTATTTGCACAGGACCTGATGGGATGGGCCTCTGACCACAGCACAGCCCCCAGGCTCTGCCATGAGATACAGACCATAAGAGGGCTGTGAAGATATGGGTAGTGATTTGGCACCTCAATTGCTCATACATGTTCCAGCAACTGCTCATACATGTAACTGCAGCACTAGGCACAGCAGGTACCTGTCTGAACCTCACACCTACAGCAGCAGCCAGTGAAGAATCTGGTGGGAAATACATGACTGCTGCAATGAATTTGCTCAGACTAAGCTCTAACTGCTGTTTATGCACTAGGCTATGTAATCAAAGTTTAAAAGCCCTTGACACAGGATGCTGAAGGTCTTAAAAAGACATCTAAAGTTAGACTAAATTAATGAAGGTAAAAATCCACCATGGCTATTGAACATGAATACCCCTGTATCACAAGTGGTCCCTGAACTGTGAATCACTGAAGATTGTAAAATAGTTCTGTGGAAGTACATTTGTTCTGTTCACACACACACTTGTCGCATGTCACACTCTCATGGATCCTTTTCACATATCCAACTCATCCCAGTGACCACTGCTGGGCTACCTGAGCTGTCCAGTGGAATGGAATGTCCACCGCTTCACTATTTAAGTCACAGGAACAGAAAAGCAATAGAGTTTACTAGTTACTGTTTTGAATTGCTCACATCTGAGATGACATGAAAATGGTAAAAATATATTCCTGACTCTGCTGTTCACCAGTGTGAGACCTGAGCATCCACTCTGCTCCCAGCCCATTTCCCCATCTCCAGGGGGTGGCCAAAACACCTTGTTCAGATGCAGCCTGTGGTGGGCAGAGGAGACATTTGCACCTGCACGCAGCATGTTATGTGATCTTTGCTAAAACAGCTGCCCCAGCCGAGTGCTGGAAGTGCCGTCAGCTGCTGGGTCATCCTTATTGCTCTTTCCTCCACTGTGCAGTGCAGATAGTGACCTCTTCCAGTTCCAGGACAACCAAGGACATCCACTTCACCACTGGCAATGTCAGTGTTCAGAGGGACAAGTGGGAGTGTCCTTCATACCCGCAACAGGTCAAGCCAGCAGAGCAACTCCTCAGCTCACCAGAGCACTTTCTATAATGCCTACAGCAACGCAGCAATTCAATGGCATTTTAGATACAGCAAAAGCTTTAGTTGAGGGATATCTATTGCATTGTGGTAGACCTTTCTTTCTCTTTCCCTTCAGGAGCTGGAGGAAGCCACATCACATGCGTCATTTAAAAGCAAACTTGAAGCAAAAGGCACTTGAAAACTCACCATGGGGAACAATCATGCTCAGGGCAGTAAATAACTGACTTTGTCTTGTTCATCTCATGTTTTATGACCTTTTCTGTTTGTACAGTGCTTCACAGAAGAAGGTAAGCTAGCGGAGCAGAGCCTGCTCTCTGCTCACCTGCCTCCTCCCCTGTGCAAGCGCCATCTCTTCTCCTGTGCTTTCTCTTCTGCTCAGCACCACTGGTTGGTAGCTTTGGATGCCACACAACTACACTGCAGTCACACAATACTGTTAGGAAGGGTCTGGGGGAGAAAAATACTGCCAGAGTCCTGGGAGCATTGCAGGACCCCTGGACACACTCTTTCCTCTGTGCCTGGGGTGAGAGCTTGCACTCTCCTCCCTCCTGGTCAGTCCAGTTCCTGATCCACGTGGAAGCTGTAGTGTAGCAGGGAAAAGGAGCATCAGAGCAGGGTCTCACTCCCTTGCAAGTTCCGTGGGGTTTGCCATGAGCCATCCTGGAAATTTAGGATATGAACAAGATCCTCTGGACTCACACAACCACTTTTAAAGCCTGCATTGGCAATCACATTAGAAGCAGCAAAGGGGAAATTTAGCAATCAGCAATTGTGTGGGACACAGTACATTGGTTGAAGACATGGAGTGGTATGGCAGAACAGAGATGTCTGGCTTCACCATGGTCTCCTTGGGCTGCACCTGGACTCTCAAAGCATCTGTTTATTCAGGAGCTTTGGATAAGTTCATGTTAGCTGTTATTTCTGTCATACTATTGCCCCATATTTTTTGAACTCTGACTTATTTGGAAGCACTGCCAAAACAATCCATCACACTGCCTTGTACCCATAGGCAATAGCCTGATGGAAGACATCATGCCCTGATCAACATCTGCATAGAGCAAGATATAATCCAGGAGTGACAAAAACATGTTATGTTCTATGTTGTCAGCACTGAGGGAAAAAACATGTTCATGATTTGCATTTGTTGTTTCATCTTGCTAATGGAATAGCAAGACTGAGCAACATGGAGCAACTGAGATTGATTAATGAATCCTGATCATCTTTAAGCTCTCAACCCTAATTCATAACCCAGGGTCAAAGTTTACATTATTCTGAGTCTTGTATCAGATAATTCAACATCCATCTACTTATTGAAATTAAGATAATGTCCTGAAAGTCCTGAAGAAAGCTTTCCTGATACCTTCAATTTCTTCCTGGCTGCTGACAACTCATAATTGTGAAGAAAACTGCAAATCCTGTGGAAAAGTCCTACAGTATCAGCTGGTGGTTGACTTGGATGACCACATATAAGGAAAATGGTGCTCCTATGGGCAGTGTCTACCCAGACTGTCTGGAAGGAGCTTATCCCTCACAGATGCTGTCAGCAGTTGGTGCAGCACCCAGAGGTTTAATCAGAGGTTTTCCTGTCAAGCGCTGACCCGTTTTGCCGGATCTGTCCTGCTCAGCTTTCAGCACATGATAGGATCATAAGGCAAGGCAAATATAAGCAAAGGATAGAAACAGAGGATAGAGATCTCCACTACGCAATTACACACATAACGATGTTATGTTATGCACAAAGGTGCGTGAAATATGTTTAAGAAAAAAAAATCTGCATAGATAGGAGAGTTGCTCATAGTCCAGGATATTATCAGATCTGGGAAAATGCTATGTGAATGAGTCACTGGAACATCAGTCAATTGCTGTTTACAGAAAATGCCACAAAATGGGCCACTGTAGTCCCTCTCCTGCATTTGTATTTCCTTTTCATAGTTTCTATAAATGATTGACTGAAATGTGCTATGGACCGCTCTCTTGCTTTATAGTTACCTCCCTACTACCTTGCACCAGTGCAGTCCCTCCTCTCTTTCAGTAAAACGTATTTTAATGAAGTATCTTTTTCAGATGATGATTAGAGAACAAACAAAGGCCCTTTGAAAAACTGTTTTGCATATTCCTGCCACAGCAGCTCTCCAACTAACCTGTCAGCAAGGTTGTGTTGTAGTCTTGTGCCAAGGAGAGACACCAAATGTGACAGATTCAGCAAGTTTATTTATGCCCCATTCCTTCAGGAGCTGCTGTTCACTATCTCACTTCCCTAGCATCTAGCACCTGAAAAATTCAAAAGCTGGTGATCTGCAGGTCAGGACTCTGTTACAGAAGGCTTGTAAATCAGAGATGGTGCCTTCAGCCCCAGCTAGAAGCCAACAGCCAGACAGCAGAGATCCCACAGCACTGGTACCACCCTCAAAACAGAGGTCTTGTCTGGATCTGTGCTGCAGGATGGGTCCCTGCCCTGAGCCTTGTGCTGAGCTGACCTCAGATGGGCAAGAACCTTCACAGAAGGACAGCTTCCAGCTTAGCTCCCATTCCAATCACTCCAAATGGGCAGGGGTAAACACAGAGGAATCAAGGGGGAAAAGGGGGGAAACAATAAGGACTGTCTGAGGAAAATCTGGGAAGCAAGAGGGCCCTGTGCCAAGACTCGGTGTGGTATGGTTTATGCAGCACAACACATCAATGCCTGGATAAGTCTGGGCTATGCTAGGCTCTCTCTGAATCCTGGGCTGCTGTGAGCTGCCACCACCTTCCCAGAGAGCAGCACAAATCACCTCCACTCCCTGTTTGCAAAGGTCTTGCTAGCAGGAGACCAAAAGAGCCTGCAGCTTCAGGGTTGAGGCTGCCCTTAGTGCTTTGAGCAGTATTGAACTCTTTCTTCTTCTGTCTGTGTGGAGAGGACGAGCCACACAGGAAGAAGAGTCTGTGTGGGGGCAGCCACACTCTGCAGAGCAAAACCTCCCCATTGCTAAAAGCCATCACAAGCCCTTCTGCCTTCTGGTATACCTCCACGAGCTTAAAAGGTGAGCTCTACATGTGTGTCTGAATGTGTGCCTCCGTGAAAAGTGAGGGAGAGACTGACTTGCTGCAATGAGCATTTCAAACAAAACAGTATAATTACACATATTTTTCTCCCATGAGCAGGATGGGAGCTCAGCATGTAATATCTGTTGCTTAATGCATTCCTAGATAGCACACAGATATTATGCTGATAAGCACTGCTTAAGAACCAAGATAGCAAAGAACAGAAAGTAATAATTGTAGTTACATAGAGAACAAGTCAGATCTTAGTGTGACTTTAAAGCAACCTGTTTTCCACCCTTCCATTTATCAGAATGCATATAGCAGTGAAGAATTTTAATAGCATTTTAAAAGCAATAATAGCTTCAGAAAGATGACTTTCATTACACAGCTGTACAGCTGTCCCTGGAAACTGTAGAGGGCCACATCATACGCCATCTTGAATTGAAAAAATATCCTTTGGAAATTAAATACCTGTATGGATGGTGCTGTCTGAGGATCTAGAGAAGACCAAAATTTACACCTGCTTCAGATCTTTGGCCTTTACCAGAGCGCAGCTTACCATGTGAAAGGCATGACCAAAATCAAGAGGTGCCCACCCTGTGCCTTCCACACGCTGGCCTCTTCCAGTGCACCATGACAGTGCTTCCCATGCTGGGCTAGTCCCTTATTCCCAGCGCCAAGAGGTGGCAGCAGCACCCCTGCCTTCGGGAAGCCACTCCTGTGAGGGATTGCCCTTGGAACGGGAGGAGAACTGATACCCAGGGGAAAAGCAAACGCACACTCACCCACTCAGACAACCTCAGCATCTCTAAGCTGACCATCAGCTGCAGCAGGCTTAGCACTATAGACAACGATAATATAAGGCACAGGATGGTGTATTTAAAAAAAAAAAAAAAAAGAAAGAAAAATTAAAACTTTTACATCTTGCTAATTTTTTCAAGTTAATAAAAAGGGGGGAAAACTATTTCTGGGATTGAAAAGAGCCCTGAGAATCTTCTCATTAGTCCCAAGGAAAGCTTGACAGCATTGCCCACTGCAAAAACTTTGCAGAAATATCAGCTGCTTTGACTGTCTCCAGCCACCTCAAAGACTAAAGGTTGAAGACAATTCACAGTTGTCAGTAAAAGAAGAAAGAAAAGATAAGCAAACATGGTCCTTCTCTCAGATACAATACAATCTCAACAGAATAAACATACAATGGAGAAAAGGATGAAGAGAGCCAGCAATTGACAAAAGCTCCTTACATCCTGGGACAAAAAAAAAAAAAAAACCCACATCCCACCAGTTCTCATCCCACCTGCAATGGTGAGATTTTCGCCCGAGCACATCAACAAGGGTGTGTTACTAAGCAGGGTCCTGTCACCTCTTCTTAGTTGGGTTCCTGTGTTTGGGGGGGGATCTCCTCCTGCTGGCACAGGATGCAAAAATATTTGGAGGTCTGCCTCTGTCAAAGCACTGATATAGCCAAGTAAATATAATTCTTGAAATTGCTGGTGAAAGACACAAGCTTGGGCATCCAGGCTTATCTTGACCTAGGCTGGTATTAGTTTACATTAACAATTGCCAGTGATCAAATAACTTCAAGTAACCTTTTCTAACTTTATCTCTGTGTTACCATATAGGGTAAAATGGCAAGCATAGGTAGTCACCGCATAACAAGAAATAGTCCTTTAGGTTAATTGAGGCTGGGGAAAGTTGTGCAACTTTTAAACTTTACCTGGAAACTACTAGGAAGGAGAAAGAGTGACATCAGAAAAAACTATTAAAATAGCCCCAAACAGACTTCATGCCTGAGGAGCAAAGAGCACCACCATGAATTTTGTGCTTGTCCTGGTGACAACTCAGGACACTGATGACTCACAGAGACAAGCCACCACCACCTCTCTGCTTGAGAAGGCTGGTGCCACCAGCCACAAGACTCAGGGACATCAGAAGGTGAGGATAGCACTGGAGAGGAGGATTAGATATTGGAACTTTTCCTTGTAGCAGTTTTAAGAGCATTACAACTAATAAGGATTTTTTGTATTAATCTGGATTATAAATCTTAGTATCATTGCAACTGGACTAATAATAAATTTATTATCTCTTAAGTATATATTTTAATAAAACTTTTGGCTCTGTATGAATATAGTGTATTCATCTTGGCACATAACAACACTTTAAGCATAGTATGACAGAAGCTGTCAGAAACCCAAGCTCATTGCCAGGCACTAGC